AACAGGATATTGTGTATCAGCACACAACACCCTTGAGACAAAAATCATGTTCCAGAACCTCCTTCACGGTGAGGTGAGGGTAGAGGAGGGACCTGCCCCAGAGAGAGAGAGAGAGAGAGAGAGAGAGAGAGAGAGAGAGAGATCTGTCCAGGGGAGGTTCTGAAAAGGATTCTGCACTGGTCTGGCAGTATCAGGGAGAAGGAGATGTGAACAGAAGTGATTTTTTTTTGGGGGGGGAGGGTTATATTCTTGGATATTTTGAGGAATCTACATATTACTTTTATAATAAAATGATCCGGTGAGCTTTATTTTTGAAAAATGAATGGGGGTGCGGGGCAGGTAGGGTGTTAACTTGCTTCCCCTGAGCTCCCTCTTTCCCAGCCTCCCGAAGTTCTGCTCTAGAAGGGATCCTGGATCTTGTTTGCTCTCTGGAGCAACATGTTGACCCGAGTGAGTGAAGCAGCAGGTGGGAGAGCCATGGAAACCTCCAGAGAAAGTGCTGAGGCACAGTGCAAAGTATGTTTATGGTCCCAGTTGCCCCTTTGACCTGGATGTTAGGTCTCACCCTGCGTCCAGGTCTTGCCAGTCTGACCTGACATTGAACCTGGTTCTCTCTCTCTCTCTCTCTCTCTCTCTCTCTCTGTCTCTCTCTGTCTCTGTCTCTCTATCTCTGTCTATCTGTCTCTGTTCTGTCTGTCTGTCTCTCTGTCTGCTTGGGCGACAGGAAGAGGCTCCTGGTGCTTAACCTTGGCCTCTCTGAGTCCACTGGGGGAGCTTGTGGGCTTATCTCCTACCAACCCAGCACTGTAGGGAAAGTTGCAGATCAAAGGAAGGAAAAGAAAGTCTCTAGGGTCACGGGTGATGCTGGGTCATGGGTGAAAGTTCTCCCTCCAAGATAGTTCCAGCTGTACTTGGGATCCCTGGCACCAGGCCCAGGTGGAGGGGCGGTTCCTGGGCTAGAGAGAGAGCACAGGGGAAAGGCACTTGTTTTGCAGGTGGCCGCAACTGTGGTTGGCTCCTGGTGCCACATAGGGTGCCCGAGCACCATCGGGAGTCACTTCTGAGCACAGAGCTAGGAATAGTCCCTGAGCAGCCTTGGCTGTGGCCCCAATCCCCCATCCACAAGAAAGAAAGAAAGAAAGAAAGAAAGAAAGAAAGAAAGAAAGAAAGGAAGGAAGGAAGGAAGGAAGGAAGGAAGGAAGGAAGGAAGGAAGGAAAGAAAGAAAGAAAGAAAGAAAGAAACTGTTTTCAGATTTACATCTATAACAAACTGAGTCAGAAAACAGCGAAGACAGAAACAAACCTTCCAAAGACACAGCTTTATCTTGTGGCAACTGCCGATAATCCAAGTCCCTGTCTTTGTCTTCCTGCTTCTTGCCTGATCTTGGGGACAGCAGTTTCAGGGGGCTCCTGACCATAAGCCACAGCCGTCTCCTCCCCTCGGCTAATCCCTGGTGCGGGGATGGGAATGTGGCGACAGGGCGCTGCAGAGGCCTCCCAGGATTCTTTCTACATCTGTGCCCAGGTCAGGACAAAGGAGAAGCCTCTGTGGCTTCTAGCCCTGTTCTTGTTTGTAGCAAAGGCCTTGAAGACCTGCCCGAGCAGAGAGAGGCCACGAGACCATGACGCCAGGGCTATGATCTCTCTTCCGAAAGATAAAGTGAGAATTTGGTGGCAACAGTGAAATGTATTGTTGCTGGCTACAGAAAAGGATGACTCAGGAGAAACTCACAAGTGTCACCCACTGATATGGTGAACTGGTACTTTTGCTGGGGAAGCTGAGAGCTGGCTCAGGGATAGGATCCAGGACTCTTACCATGTTCCCTTCCCTTTCTTTCTCTTCCCTTCCTTTCCTTTCCTCCTTATATGCCCTCTCCCTTCTGTCCCTCCTTCCCTCCTTCCTTCCCTCCCTCCCTCCCTCCCTCCCTCCCTTGGATGCATCTCAGCTGCAGAGTTCCCTCCCTCCCTCTCTTCCTTCTTCCTTCCTTCCTTCCTTCCTCCCTTCCTTCCTTCCTTCTTTCCTTCCTTCCTTCCTTCCTTCCTTCCTTCCTTCCTTCCTTCCTTCCTTCCTTCCTTTCCTCAAAGCCTACTTCTGGCTCTGTGCTCAGGGACCATCTTTGGTGCTGGGAATTGAACCCAGGTCAAATGAGTATAAAATAAGCACCTTACCCCCTGCACTATCTCCCTAGCCCTGGACTTAAATTTTCTGTACTATAGTCTTTCCTCTTTGGTGCTATATTATTTTCCTTTTAAGCTGGGTGCTGTTTTGCCTGGCTTCCAGGTCAAGGACCATAGGTTTTCCAGGCTCACACTCTATTGGTGAATCTCTAACAAAAGCAGGAAAGAAACCAAAGCTAGAAAGAAGGAAAGTGAAAAGAGGCGGCCCAAACTGAAACCATCCATGATCCCTTTGACAAAGGCATCTTCCTGGCAGAGGCAGCCTGACTTGAAGTCCGGTTGTGTGGCCAGCATGTGTAAGCCCAGTGCGAAGTGACCACTTCTTGGAGGTGGCAGTCAGGCAGTGTGAGCTGAGGTCAGGCACTTGCCTTGCAGAGAGGAAACTTATTGCTCAGGGTACCGTGCCCCTTTCCAGAGCTGAGGGTTGGTGGGGAGTTATTTCATGTTTTCTGAGTATCTTGATTTCACTACCTTTGGACATAGCAACCTCTGAAACTGTTTTTTTTTTCTTCTTGTCTATCTTGCTTTTTTTTTTTTTTTAATCTGTGCTCAGGGATCTCTGCTAGTTTGTGTTTGGAGGATCATATGAGATGCCAGGAATTAAACCGAGGTTGGCTGCATGCAAGGCAAGTTTCCCTGGCCCTGTGCATCTTCCTCCTAGGGAGATGCTTTCTCCTGGATTTCCAAGCCTTCCTTGGCAGAATTCTATTGGCAGGAGCCTGCTGTGTCACTTCCTACTTAGCCTCCCTCAGCGATGTTCCCTGGGATCTAGATTCAAAGAAAGCTGCAGAGCTTTCTGAAAGGCGAGTCCCAGCGTCTCTGTGCCTGGAAACTGCTCCAGCCTGTCCTGGAGGCTGCTGGTCCATGAGGCGCTCCTCTCCCAGAACCCACCGCACCTGAGCTGGGTTTGCGGGCAGCCAGTGTCACTGTCCCGGTCTGTGTCCTCAGAGCAGTCCAATCTTCACGTCATTGTCTCCCTGACACACTGCCACTCCAAACACAAGCACCTCTCTCGTTTCTGTTTTCTTCCCAGACCATGATACTTCTATTGCATTCTAATAAAAAGCCTATCAGCTCTGGTTGTTGTCCAATGAGAAAGAGCCTATGTGGGAGACCGTATTAATACAAACCGTCTCTACTTAGAGCCTCCCCATCTACTTCCCACTGTACTTGAGCCTACATTCTCTCTCTCTCTCTCTCCCTCACACACACACATGCACATACACAAACTCACTCATAAACACATTCTCACACACATGCGCACACACACAAACTCTCACTCATACACACACTCTCACACACATACACAAACTCTCTCACTCATACGCTCTCTCTCTCTCTCTCTCTCTCTCACACACACACACACACACACACACACGAGGGACGTCTATAACAGAAACTGAAACCTAAGCTAGAGTTAGTACAGTGGGTAAGGTGCTTGCTTGCCTTGCATGTGGTTAACCTGGGTTCAATTATTGGCACCTCATATGGTCTCCCAAGCCCTGCCAGGAGTGATTCCTAAGTGCAGAGCTGGCAGTAAACCCTGAGCACTGTGGACCAACAAACAAACAAACAAACAAAGGAACCGAAATCTATGTATCACCAATCACAGTCATCTATGCTACTGCAAACAAGGTTATACCTTTCTTTAGCTATAACCCATTAATTTCCTTGCCTCTCTTCCTCTTCTCTCTAAAGGCTTTCTCCTAGCTCCTGACACTTTCCACTAGGTGCTACTCCATTGAAACTGACTGTTTTTTTTAAAAAGAAGTCAATTTATTTTGTTTATTTATTTATTTTCTTTTTTGGGTTATTCCTGGCTTTGCACTCAGGAATTACTCCTGGCGGTGCTTAGGGGACCATAAGGGATGCTGGGGATCGAACCCGGGTTGGCCACATGCAAGGCAAACACCCTACCCGCTGTGCTATTGCTCCAGCCCCGAAACTGGCTTTTGATCAAGATTTTTCTTTCTTTTGTTTTGGGTCTCCAATGGAGACGTTACTGGGCCCGCTCGAGCAAATCGACGATCAACGGGAGGGCCTTTACCTTTACCTTTACCTTGTTTTGGGTTACACCTGATGGTGTTCAGGGTTTACTCCTGGTATCATATATGTTGTCAGGGATCAAACTCGGGTTGGCTATATGCAAGGCAAGTGCCATATTTTCATACCCTCTCATGCACACTCACAAAGACACACTCTCACGCACTCATATTCTCTCACACACAATCACATTGGACATGAGAACTCAGAACCAGCCATGTGACTTGCTCGGAGCTAAGGTATAGTTACAGTGCCACATTTAAGCAGAGACCTCAAAAAGACCCAGGGGTCTGTTCGCCTCACACTGGGAGCTGGAGCACTGTGTCCAAGAAGGGGGAGTAGATCTGCTAGTCATCCCCTTAATTCTTGGGGTTCTCATGCTCTCTAACGGGGGGACTCTGTATTAAATGTCTGTCACCTGACTTTTGGTCACAGTCTGGTGTGATAGCTCTGTTCCAGCTGTCCTGCTTCTCTAGGGCCCTGGCTTAGAATTAGACTCCTATAACTTCTCCCTTTTCTTGGGAGGTGGATTTGGGTAGCACCCAGAGGTGCTCCAGGCCCACTACTAGCTCTGTGTTCAGTGGTCACTCCTGGTGGTGTTGGGGGAACATATGTGGTGGTGGGAATGAAACCAGGACTGGCCATGTGCAAGCAAGTGCCCTACCTGCTGTCTCTCTTTCGGACCCATGGCCACTTCTTCCAGAGCAGAGATCAGAGTTCATGTAAAAGGGATGAATGGGCTAAACTGCAATGACCACAGTGCTGCAAAGTGCACATAATCATATAAAATTATTTTTATTAAAATAGAAAAGTTTTCCTGTATATTGCATTGAAGACATTTATAGAAAAAAGCAATTGCAACAAATATGCTACATCAGCACTGAGATATTTTGAAAGCTTTAAGTGCCCATTTTTAAACAACATTTTGGTATAATAAGCATATCCTTATATATTTTAGAGGATACATATAATACTGAAAAACATACTTCATGTAAAATCTAAGTTTAGGTGCACACCAACAAGAAGTATTACATTGAATAGCTTATATCAGACTGTAAAACACATTCAAAGTTTTCAATTTCTTAGACAACATGCAAACTTTTAACACTTATTGACAATTTTAAATATATAAGCCACAATTCTTTATAATTCCATATAAAAAAAGAAAGTTGGACAGAACACCTATCTACACTGTGCATATCACAAAAAAGCAAACGTGTCTTCATGAACAGAATGGGCTGGGTTAACAAACATGATTGTCATTTTACAAATATGGCTATTCACCTTCTTCATAATAAAATAGAAAATCATGTATTATTTACATGAACTACTAATTATTTCACTTTTTGGCAATTAAAATAGCAGCAATTGGTTTAAAGTTTGATGTTCAAAAACTCGACATTTAACTTGATGAATACCCAAGAGTCCAGTCCTGGTGAAATTCAGAATGTGAAATGCAAGAAGCTTTGACATGCTGTGACTTCTCACAAAAAGTTGCACACACTCGAGTAACTGCTGGGACTATCAGTTACAATCCGTGAGGTTGGGAGGATCAGTGGCTGCTGCTCAGCACAACAGATGGGTCCCTCGCTCACCTTTCTGGACACTAACTGATGACTGACTTACACTGTGAAGAAGCGTCCTCTTTATCCCCTACCCTAGAGGGGGAGTCTCCCCTTGAACTCTAGTTTCTAGGTAATTAATCGCCCATGAGTGAAAACAAACACACCTGGGCACCTTCATATTGTAAAAGAACTTTGCGATGAAGTTTCTGGGACATGAAGCCCACAGAAAAGTGAGCTACTTTTCTTAAAAAAAGTGATCTTGCATCCATGATGGTGAGTCGGTTTGCGAGTGTTGGGGTCATAATCATGAGCAAATGACGAATTGCTAAGGCAGGGGTCCACCAGAAGGAGACACTATCTTCCCATCCGTATTCCGAAGGATGCATTTCAACATGTGCATAAGCCAAATCAGCTTACTAATCTTGGCAGGTGAAATAATACTGTGTGGTGAACAGAGGTGACAAGTGCTGGTACTTGGTCATTATTCAACTGCAAAGCAGCAGTGCTGGAGGTCGGTCACAAGGTGAAAGGGAGACTGAGGCATGGTTGCACTTTTTACTGGCCCTCAGTTCTGTGTCCAGAGCCAGAGCCAGGTGAGGCCCAGGGTGAGGAGGAAAGAGAGAGAGAGGCAGTGGGGGGTGGTCCTGGTGCTCGCTGAGGGCACGCTGCTGGATACCTGGACCTGGGAAATGATGAGGGCAGACAGAGGGACGTGGGAGGTCAGAGTGGGGCTGTCAGAGTTGATCAGGGATTCGATCTTCTCGGCTTCTTTATTGCAGGCCTCGATCTGGGAGAGAAAAGTTCGGTTTTGAATACAAAACCTTGGGACCAGTGAGAAGGTCAAATCAGACAAAGTCCACATGGGTTTTGTAATTTGCTATGTTAAGAAAGCAGCAGTGGGAGTCAAAGCAGAAAAGAAAGGAGCCAACGGGTCAGCTGTCTCCTCTACAAGCCTGTTTCCCATTTACCCAGTCTTTCTTTGGCGGGGGAGGCGGGGGGAGCCACTGCCTGTGGTACTAGCATGGGCTGTTGGTCAACACTAGGGCCCGAGGATGTGGTGTTGTTTGGGATCTGTGGTGCTGAGACCACCAGGGTCACCCCAATGGGGCTTAACTCAGACCCGGTGAGGGTGCATGCAAGGCTCTAACCCCTATACCATCTCCCTGGCCCTTAGACATTATCTTTACATGGTTATACCCAGTCATGGAAAATACATTTCTTTCCTCCCTTCCTCCTTTCCTGTTCTTGGATCACACCCAACTGTGCTCAGGGGCTGTTCCCGGCTCTGTGCTCAGGAGTGATCTCTGATCCCTGGCAGTGCTCGGGGGACCCTATGTGGTGGCAGAGGTAGAATTGTGCCTGGCCCTGGGTTCAATACCCTGCAACAGGGAGAATATATTATTCACTCAATCAAATTGCTTTCATCCTCATGTTTAAATTTGCATTGAAAACATCTTCTCCAAAATAAAAAATACTTAATAAGATATCTTCTCCAGGGCTGAAAATATAGGAGGGAAGATACTTGCCTTGGATGAGGCTGACCCCAATTCTTTTTTTTTTTGGCATGGGGGTCACACCCAGTGATGCTCAGGGGTTACTCCTGGCTCTGCACTTAGGAATCACTTCTGGCATTGCTCAGGGGACTGTATGGAATGACCGGGAACAAACCTGGATCGGCTGCATGCAAGGCAAACACCTTCCCTGCTGTACTGTTGCTCGGGTCCCTGATCCCAATTCTATCTCTGCCACCATGAGCTCAGGCCTGTGCTCTACTCCGGAGCCACATCTCACCGTGGCAGGTCACAGACGCCAGTCTTCACCATTCTATTCAAGCCCTCACAATACTGACACAGAAACTGGACCTTACTTGAGTGAGGCTCATGTCAAGATTGTGGAGAAAAGCCAGGTCACAAGCCCAGCGCCAGGGGCCTCTTCCCAGTGGTATTCCCAAGAGCCCAGTGTGGACACGCCTGGCCACCACCTGGCCTGTGCTGGGTGCTGCCCTCCTGGGCGGGAGCTTCTCTTCCTAGCCTGAGTGTCAGCATCGACCTCTCCCTTTTCTCCTGTCCTATCCCTCAGATGTGCTGCCAAATGGATCCCCTGCCTCAGCAACCTACAGGTGCCCACCTGGAATAGTGCCCCTCAGAGCCCTCTCCTGATTGGGCTCCCAACACCGCATTACCCGCTGGGCTGCCCTCCCTTTGGCCCAGGTGTGCACCCCTCCACCCCAGAGTGACCGGCTGGCTGGGCAATGGGGACTGAGCCCCACCTGCAAGGCTTTGGGGTGATGATCGACGGGAACGATCAGGACTACTATCTCAGACTCGATGCTGAAGTAGCCGAACACATCGCACTGTGGGACAGACACGTGCATGCGGATTTTCTGCAGTATTTCCAGGATGGTTATTGGACTTTTGCTCGTTACCTAGAAAAATAAAAACATCTGTTACTGGAAACAAATTTTTTTTTTTTTTGCTTTTTTGGGTCACACCCAGCAATGCTCAGGGGTTATTCCTGGCTCTTCACTCAGGAATCACTCTTGGTGGTGCTTGGCAGACTACATGGGATGCCAGGAATTGAACCCAGTCGCCTGTGTGCAAGGAAGACGCCCTACCCGTTACACTATCACTCTGGCCCCCCAGAAACAAATTCTTTTAAGACTGCTCTAGTTGCCTTTCTACCCTACTAAGGAGACACGCGAGACCCCGAGTGTGCGCCCAGCCCCTCTCATCTCCAGCACCCATTCCCTGAGCTCTCAGAGCTTTGGTGTCAAGGTGAACACTCTTTCCAGATGCGTTTTTTGAAAAAGTAATTGTTTTGAGTTGAGGCCATAGAAAAATAGTGTATTAGCCTGAAGCTGTGAATAAAATATCAAATCCTCAAGGTCCTGGGCTGGGTTGATCCTACTTTTAAATAGCAGTGGTTCTTCTCTCACTTGTTTACCAAACTTAGTTCCTATGTCAGACACTGTATTGTGTACCTTGAATCTGTGAGACCAGTGAATCTGTGAAGAGGAACTTATCACTATTTTACAGAAGATTGATAATATTTAGCAAGTTTTACTGACTTGCTGAAGCAAATTGCTGGCCTTTGACTGGATCTGAGGAACATGTCATTACATACTGCTTAGTTATTACTTTCTACTGTTTCAAGTCAGAAATAAGAAAAATAAGAACCAGTTGTTCCTCCAGAGTAATAAATAAGTAATAAATAAGTGGAATAAATATTTGGAAATAAAAACAATAGTCTTTCTATCCCCCATGACATGGGGAATAACTGGCGGGGGAAGAGAGAGAGAGACAGAGAGAGAGAGAGGGAGAGGAGAGGAGAGGAGAGGAGAGGAGAGAGAGGAGAGAGAGACAGAGAGGGAGGGAGGGAGGGAGAGGAGAGGGAGAATGGGGGGGAACTGGAGCACATGCTTTTCCTGTGGGGGGAGGCCTAGACTCAGTCCCAGCACTGCATGGCCCCGAGCCCTCTTAAGTGTGGTCCCCAAACAAAGCAGAATGGATGGGGCAAAACCTTCTAGGAAGTGGTGGCAGCATTTCTTCAGCACCATTTCTAGAGCCTCATTAGTGGGCCAGAAGGCACTTTTTTGGGGAGTGGGGCTTGGGCACCACGTGGTGCTGCTCAGGGCTACTCCTGGCTGTGTTCCTGGGACCATGTGATGCTGGGGATGGATCTGGGGTCGGCCACGAGCAAGCCAAGTGCCTTCCCCCATCTTATCTCTCAGGTTCCGACAGTAGGTGATTTTAAAGCCAGGCACAGGCTGTCTGTAATGGCTGAGCCGGTCATTCCACAGCCGGGGTGCAGGGGTGTGGGGGAAGATGCGGAGCCCAGGGTGGAAGGAGGAACACCTGGGTCCAAGTCTAGTTGTACTGGATACGCAGTACAGGACACGGCTACGCGATGTGCCTCGAGCAAGCTGTGTTCCCGCAAATTTCCTTCTTCACTATAGACGGGGTCTCCATGGTAGGATTACTAAGGGGTCTGTGATGAGCATTCTTCCAACAGCATCTGCCCTGTGAAGTGCACTCACCTTAGCAATAGTGTCCAGTTTTTCTCTGTCAAATAAAACTCGCAACATCCCAGCACACAACGGGCAACAAGCACCTGTGTGACAGAAACCATTCTTGGGGTTCATGAGTTGGAAATAGGAGCGTGAGACACAACCACCCACGATGCTAGGACAAGTGCAGGCCCCCTGCCTGAGGACCCAGCCCCACCCCAACCCCAGCACAACTTCAGCCCTTTCTGGCCTGCTTTTCCTTCCCTGCCCCTTTCCTGGAGGCAGCAGGGGTGTCTGTCGGTCAGGACAGAGCAAGTTACATGGGGCCTGGATTTGCCCCTTTTGGTGACTTGGGGTCTCAGTGGGCCCCCTGCTCCCCCTACATGGGGAGCCTCTCTGCAAACACTTGTTGGTGTTTTCCTGTTTGTAAAACAAGGCAGCAGTTATTTTAGGGATCCCAACAATTTGAATCTAATTGATTTATTTTTGGTTTGGGGACCACACATGATGATGTTCAGGAGTTACTCCTGGCTCGGCACTCAGGGATCACCCCTGAGAAGTCCTTGGTTGACATTTAGGATGCTGGGGATCAAATTCAGGTTGGCTCCATACAAGACAAGTGCCATACCTGCTGTACTATTACTACAGCCCAAATCCAATTTATTCTTTAGAATTATTTTAAACTTTTTTTTTAAAAAACAGTAACAAAATATCAGAAGGTGGTGGTCGGGGGACATGGTTCAGGTTTGGGAAGTTGGTGTCTACAACACCCAACAAACACTGGGTGAATTTACTCCTGAGGTGTTCTATGCAGACCTGGGATAGAATCTCTTTTGTCCCTTCTGTGAACTGAAGGGTCTGAGATTGTCCTGTCAGTGGTTTACCAAATGGTTCCATTGTAGCTGTGTCAGCAGAACAGAATTTCCTTGATGACATGCAACAAAAACATTTTACGCGAAATGCTAAGTTAGATCTATGGTTCTCTTCTGTTGCTTAAGATCTCAAATGTTTCTGTTCATCAAAAACGGTCTCATTGATTCACTCACGACTGATTCTTTGTCCATTACCTTTATAACAAGCAAACCTTAAGCTTTTGAATAACCATACTTTTAGTGATTAAATATTGCATACTTGGTGTTTTATACATTGGTGTTCGATGTACTGATCTGCCTGAAAAAATTTTGCCACATGGTTTTAGGATCACCTATTGTGGTGCCTAGCAAGATCATTAGGATGAGACCTTGGACACTGCCCTGCAAGCAGGAAGCAGAACCAGGACTCCACTTTGAACTAAGTGGGCAAGCTGAAGCTTGAGTCTGGTTGGTCTGGAAAGGGTTAACAAGCCATCCTACATTTGCTTGTCATATATTAACTCCCAGCAGCACAAGAAAACAACTCTCCTGATTATCTCACTCCAGGTGTGAGGAGATGTGATCTATGGAGGTGCAGAGTCTTCACGCTGGACCTTGCATACCTCCCTGGAGATTGCAGCCATTTGCTTCGTGGACATGGCAGGACAATGTATTCTTTGGTGTCCTTGTGAGATATGTTTAGTCTGTGCCCCACTATTCCTTTGTTAATGATTTTTTTCTGCCTTAGAGAGATTTACGATAAGAAAGCAAATAAAAAGAGACTGCAAAAGCTGCTCTTGACTGACAAGCCTAGGAAGAGCTGCAGTCCTCCGTGCTTCTGCATTCCACTCGCTTGGCTTGCCTCTGCATCTCTGACTGATCACTTGATCCAGAAACAACACCTGGCGCCCGAACGCCTGGGTCCGAAGGTAAGTACGGAGTATGAGGGGAACCGGGCAAGTTAATGTTGCACCGGGCCTGCATATTTTCCCGGTAGCCGGAGCTGGCAACCAACAGTTATGGGCAATTCACCGTTGTAAGAGGATGCATATCTTGACCTTCTAAATTCTCTGACAAGGGCAGCTGGTCTGCCATTGAAGGAACAGGTCATGTGGCACCTCCTCGAGAGGGTCCACAAGTATTGCTACTGGTTCGAGCCGAGAAGCAGAGATCAGTTTCACCTACAGTTAAGGAAAAAGGTAGGAAAAGAGTTGCGTCGTGTGCATCAGAAAGGGGACTTGATCCCTACAGATGAACAGGGAATGTATGGTGTAATTACCACAGCCCTGACTCCTTTTCAGCCCGACTCTGAGTCAGAGGAGGCTCCTCAGCACCAGCCTGGTTGTCTGCTTCCCCCTCCAGCACCTCCTATTCTTCTCCCTTCCAGTCCTCCCGCTTTTGAAACGGAGCCATCTGCTCCCGCAATTGGGGGAGAACATAAAGCAATCGCCTTTAAATTTCTTTCTATGCTTAAGCAAGCTATGGTGTCACTGCCAATTATATGCTGGTCCTTCTTGAAAATTTTACTGAGGCCAATACCTTGCTCCCGATTGATTGGCAGACCATTGCTAAAGTGGTGTTGGAAAATCTGCAATATGTACAATTTAAATCTGGTGGGAAGAGGAGGCCGAAAAGTTTGCTAAAAGAACCCATTCCCTCCCCCCCACCCCCCACAGCAATTGATACTACTATCAATAGTATAATTGTAGGGTTACAGGGGCTGGAGCAATAGCACAGTGGGAAGGGCATTTGCCTTGCACGCAGCCAACCTGGGTTTGATTCCCAGCATCCCATATGGTCCCCTGAGCACCGCCAGGAGTAATTCCTGAGTGCAGAGCCAGAATAACCCCTGTGCATCGCCAGGTCTGACCAAAAAGGAAAAAAAAATAGTAGGGTTACAGGTACTGGTAATTGGGTTCATGTGAACGAACAGATTTGCTTGTCGAATGAAACCTTAGAGGTCATTAATAAGACTTGTCTGAAAGCCTGGCGGTATCTAGAGACTTCAACAAAATGCTCCATGCCCTTCCCTATAGTTCTTCAAGAAGCCAGTGAGCCTTATACTGACTTCACTGCTAGACTTCAGGACTCCCTCGAGAAAGCTGTAACTGATGAAAGCCTTAGGGAAATGCGTATGTCAAGGTTGGCAGTAGAAAACGCTACAATGGACTGCCGAAAAGCTATTCAAGCTTCTAAGGTAAGGATGACTTTATCAGAGCATGTAGGGAAGTGGACAAACTGGCAGGCTACTGAATGTAACCTGCCCACACGGCAGAGTCTCGCAAACTCCCTGTGGCGTACCCAATATGCCAAATACCAGTAACAATGATGGGTCTCATTCTCCTAACCATGAAAGAGCCTTGAATGTGGCACTTTTTAAAAAATTCTCAGGGCTAGGATGAAGGAGACGTTACTGGGGCCTGCTCGAGGCAATCGACAAACAACAGGATGGTCGTGATCGTAGGGAAGTGGGAACCACTACACACCAGGCTCGAATAATATCAGCTGTTTTATTTTTTAATTTTTTTTGCTTTTTGGGTCACACCCGGCGATACACAGGGGTGACTCCTGGTTCTGCACTCAGGAATCATCCCTGGTGGTGCTCAGGGGACCATATGGGATGCTGGGAATCGAATCCAGGTCGGCTGCGTGCAAGGCAAACGCCCTACCCGCTGTGCTATTGCTCCAGCCCTAGCATCAGCTGTTTTAAAACAGGCCGCTCAAACAAGATATTAGGGTTGTGGGGCAATTGGCCACTTTAAACCTGACTGTACAAAATCCAAGGGGAGAAACAGAAAAGAGCTGCCTGACCCATGCCAGAGATGTGGAAAAGGAGGACATTGGACTAATGAGTGCTATTCAAAAAGGGACAAATTTGGTAATCTCCTGGAGAAGCTGGGAAACAGGGGGAAGGACCCAACTTGGGGCCCTACCAACAATACGGGAAATTAAACACTGAACCAACAAAAAACGTTGGGATATCCCCCCTCGCCCTTAGTGGTCTTAATTGAGAAACAAGGAAATTCAAGTGAATAATTGTCCTACACTGACCTCATGTGGGAAACTGAGGGAAGTGCAGCTGCTGATATTCTAGCAGTGCAAGATTTGTTTTTAATGCCTAACAATATATATAAAATACCAACCAATGTTTATGGTGCCCTTCCAAAAGGCACTGTGGGAATGGTTCTGGGAAGGAGCAGCATGACATGCCAAGGCGTCAATGTTAAGAGGGGGGTGATTGACAGTGACTTTGTGAAAGAGATCATGCTTGCAGTCACCAAACTGAAACAAAGATTTTTAAAGGGGAATGGATTGCCCAATTGCTTATGCTCCCCTGTATTCAGGGAAAGAGCAGTACCAAAAAGAGAGAAGGTAACTTTGGGAGTACCAATGGCAAGGTATTTTGGGAACAACTGATTACAGATAAAATACCTACCATGATTGCAACGTGTGAAGAGGGGACAAAATTAGAGGGCATGCTAGATTCTGGAGCAGATGTGACCATTATAGCTTCTCATTACTGGCCAGTAAAATGGAGAAAGGGCTCCACAGATGCAAGCTTTTCAGGGTCTGGGTGTCATCAATACGGGAAATTAAACTTACAACAGAGTGTTAAAGCTCTGAAATGTACAGACCCAGATGGAGACACTGTAACCATCCAACCTTATAATGCCCCCATTGCTGTTACATTATGGGAAAGGGACATGCAACAGAAGATGAAGATAAAAATGACTAAGGTTACAACTGATGAACAGGACTCAATCTATCGCACTTTTAGTTGGGGCCTCTGCTTGTGAAACCAAAAGTCCTACAGCTCTCCCAATAGCATGGAAATAGATTGAACCTGTCTGGGTTGAGCAATGGCCCTTGAAACAAGAAAATCTTGAAACCTTACAGGAATTAATTTGAAAACAATTGGATTTAGGGCATATTGTCCCCATCTCTAGTCCTTGGAATTTCCCGGTGTTCGTTATCAAGAAAAAGACAGGAAAATGGAGAATGCTGACTGATTTAAGGAAAGTTAATGAATGCATGGAGCCTATAGGGCCTTTACAACCAGGGTTTCCAAATTTAGCCCTAATACCCAAACAATGGAATATCATTATCACGGTCACGGTCCTCCCGTTGTTCATCGATTTGCTCGAGCAGGCCCAGTAACACCTCCATTGTGAGACTTGTTGTTACTGTGTTTGGCATATTGAATATGTCATGGGGAGCTTGCCAGGCTTTGCTGTGCGGGTGACGTACTCTCGGTAGCTTGCCGGGCTCTCTGAGAGGGGCAGAGGAATCGAACTTGGGTCGGTCATGTTGGCTGTGTGCAAGGCAAATGCCCTACCGCTGTGCTATTGCTCGGGAAAATAAGGAATTTACCCCTCCAGCACCATTCAAGCAAGGCTTCCCTACACAGACTCACCTGTGGAAAACTGGCTCTGCCCTGAGTGCTCTTGCCTCATTGCAAGGTAATCTTAGGAAAAACAGTATTTTGAAATGCTATATTTTAGAAAAAAATCTGACCTGTAATGTCATGGCCTGTTGTGCCTCTCCCGTATGTGGTCTTGAAAGGAAAAATTAACTGGGATAGACAAGAAGGTATTATTTCTTACAAACAATGCTCCATGTATACTTGTGTTGACTCATCTGCAAGGCTCCTAGAAGGAGAGAGTTTATATTTTCCCAGGGTCCGAATAGGTGTCTGGATGCCAGTGACTCTTCATCGACATTGGGAGGAGAGTCTGAGAATGGGGGCGCTTTTCCAGCGGCTCACCCATCTCTCCCAATGGACCAAGAGGCTCCTAGGCCTGCTCATTGCCGTGATCATGAAACTCATCACAGTGACAGCAATGGCAACAGGAACGGTGTTGAAGCAAGAAACCCAGACTGCATAATTCATTCAGATATGGCATGAAAATGCCCAAAAACTGTGGACTGCTCAAAGACAAATTGACTCTGAGATACAGGCTGAATTAGCTGATGTTACACAAACTGTTCATCACTGGGAGACCAGTTGTCTCTGCTGACAAATGTGAAAAATAAGCTATCTGAAATATTAGAACTACAAAATAAAATTTGTAGCACACATTCAAAGATCACCTGCCTAATCTGGGATCTCCAGAAATATGGCAAGGGATCTCCAGTGGTTTAATCTCTCTTCACCCCATTATTAGCATCAAGGGATTGGTTGGAGGACCTGTGGGAATGGGCATTTTGCTGCTGATATTAGTGGTCCTTGTGCCTTATTTTCTATTACAGCTTCCAGAAATATAAGATTGAAGAGTCAACAGAAACAGGCAGCCCAGGTTGTGATGATGATGATGGCCAAGATCCATTATAAACAAAAAGGGGGACGGGGGACGTGCTGGTGCCTAGCCAGATCATTAGGACTAGTCCTCGGATGCTACCCTGCAAGCAGGAAGCAGAACCAGGACCCCACGTTGAAATAAGTTGGCAAGCTGAAGCTTGTGAGTCTGATTGATCTGGAAAGGGTTAACAGGTCTTCCTACATCTGTTTTGGTCATATATTAACTCCTGACAGCCCTCCTAAACAGCCCTCCAGCTTGTTCCAGACCCCAGGTGTGAGGAGGTCATGACCTATGGAGGTGCAGAGCCTGCACACTTGGACATTGCATTTCTTCCTGGAAATAGGAGTCATTTGCTATTTCATGGACACGGCAGGACAATGCATGCTTTGGTGTCCTTGTGAGATATGTTTAGTCTGTGCCCCAACATTCTTTTGTTAATGATTTTTTCTGCTTTGCTGAATTCTCTGGAGAGGTTTACGATAGGAAAGCAAATAAAAACAGCCTCCAACAGCTGCTCTTGGCTGACAAGCCTGGGGAGAGCTATGGTCCTCCATGTTTCTGCATTCCGCTTTCTTGGCTTGCCTCTGCACCTCCGACTGATCACTCGATCAAGACACAACAACCACAGAACCAGATGAAGTCCAAGGCAATTTAGAGCTTGTTTGTTGGTTTTCAGGCTTAGTAAGGCAAGTGCCTTAACCCCTGTATTATCTCTCTGGGTCGATCCACAGTCTTTTAAGGTTGACCCAGAGCATGCAGTGGGTAGAGTTTGGAGTTTTTAAAAAATGCCAACTCCTGGGCCTTGTCCCTTCTCCCCAGTGGCCACCCTCTGGAGGGGCATCAGCACATCCTTCCTGTCCCCGCCCTGCCCAGCACCCACCCAGGTGCAGCCTACCTGGTGGGATGACGGGCTTGCAGTCGGCCGCTGAGAGCGCCGGGCACTTCACGGCAGCGCACTCAGCCACGGAGCTGTGCTCCGACAGGACCCCCACAGCCTGGCACGGCCCGTAGTAGTCGACGGCCACCCGGTCTGAGTAGGCCGCGCACACGCTGGAGTACGTCTCCCCGTTGTGCCCGCAGACGGGTTCTGTGGCTCTGCAGAAGGGCTGAGGGCGAACAAGTCACATTTATCCTGGAGATCTCCATGACACACCTTTCTTCACCAGCAGTACCGAGGAGGTATCCCTGTCCTCAGGAAGGTAAAGAGACGGGGACAGAAGAAGACAGGGATCTACTCCATTGCACCGCTCTGAGCAGGGCTCACCGGGCTCATTGCTGCAGACAATACATGGACCCCAGGGGAACAGGAGACATTGCTTTTGACTACTTCTCTGAGACTAAGGTGCTCGTCCCATGAAGCACAAACCCTCTCTGCCCCTCCAGACTAGGTACTTCAGAAGAGTCTGTTGGAAAAAAAACAAGCCCAAACTTCACGCAGCAGTGAAAATGAAGGCCTGAGCATTTCAAAGTGGGCTCTGGCTAGGTAGCGAGGGGAGCAGGGAGAGCTCAGCAGGCAGAGTGAACGACTCTGTCAGGTCGGTGTGGAGTGTGAGAGAGAAATAAGGCCAGGACGAGGGCTTGGTGGGAAGGGAAGACAGGGGGTTCAGAAAAGCAGGCACTGATTGACGCTACTGGAATCTAAGCCCAGGAAGATTTTCCTGACAAGGGAGTAAGACAAAATCATGGTACAGAGCAGAGTGAGACATAATCAAGGCACAGACAGGAGTGAGACAGAGTCTTGGCACAGGCCAGGGAATAAGAGGTGACCATGGCCAGAGCTGGCTGACTGTGGTGGCAGATGCTGGGATGTCTCCAGGAAGAAGGCCATCATCAGTGGAGCATGTGGGAAGCCTTGGTGGGGCTGTCTTTGGAGCTATTTTTTGATACTAATTCAGATTTCATAACCCTCGAAGGTTGAAATGAGCCAGAAAGAAAGGGATAGACGTAGAAAGACTGCACTCATCTGGGGAATAAAGTAACAGAATGATAGTTGAACACCCAAGAATAATTGATATAAGTACCAGGAGGTCTGCTCCAGGGCTTGGAAGCTGGCCTCACATGTTGGGGGGGAGGGGGGAAGGAAGGCAGCTCAGATAGAGAAGGGAACAGCAAGTAAAGGATGTTTGGAGGACTCGCTCCGATGCGAGATGCGTGCTGAAAGTAGACTGTAGACCGAACACAATGGACACTCAAAACCTCTATTGCAAACTACAATACCCTAAGGGAAAGAGTGAGCAAAAGGGAATGTCCTGCCACAGAGGCGGGGGGTGGGGTGGGAGGGAATGGGGTGTGGGAGTGGGAGGGCTACTAGGATCATTGGCGGTGGAGAATGGGCACTGGTGGAGGGATGGGTATTTGATTACTGTATAACTGAAACCCAAGCACGAAAGTTTGCAAGTCTACAACTGTACCTCATAGTGTTTCACTAATAAAAAAAAAAAAGAAAGAAAGATAACTGAAGACGAGCGTCTCAGAGGAATTTTCACCTACTTTCTGTTCTGCGGGCAGGACTCTGGTGGGAAGATAAAACATGGGGGGAGAGTGGGAAAGGAACGCTTTTTGGTTGACTGGACTCCCATCTTTCCCTTCCAACCTGCTGACTAGTGAGGGTGCACAGGGCTACAGGGAGTGAAGTGGTGCTGACTTTTGTAGGGGGTTTGGTTCCACACTTGCTCCTCCAGAGCGGGCTCAGAAGCCTGATGTTGGTGCACAGGTACGCACAAGAGAACCCTCTAGAGGCAGGAGGCCCAGCCGGTCATGGGAAGGCTTCAGACTAAGTCCTCTATATGGGACAAAATTCACAAAAGAGTCTTGTTTGCTCATGCATATTCATCTATAGAAGACCATAACCCGGGGCTGGAGTGATATCACAGTGGGTAGGGCATTTGCCTTCCACGCGGCCAACCCGGGTTCGATTCCCAGAATCCCATATGGTCCCCTGAGCACTCCCAGGAATAATTCCTGAGTGCATGAGCCAGGAGTAACCCCTGTGCATCACCAGGTGTGACCCAAAAAGCAAAAAAAACCCCCCCAAAACCCCAAAAAACCAAAAACTCAAAAAACCATAACCTGATTCTGTGCTTGGTGCTTGATGGCCCTGGGCTGGCCAGCCAAACCACATTACCTGGCAGGGGCCTTTGTATAGGAGACTTTTCCCTCTCTGGTACAAAGTGCAGAGGTTGTTGTGTTCCACGTGGTTCGTATCGCAAACAGGATCTCGGACCTGGTCGCAGGTGAGCTGTCTTGGCAAACACTCATACTGGCTACACCCGAACTTCTCGAAAGTTGTCAGGCAGACCTGTGGTTTGGGTATGCATCTGAAAAACACGATTGCTCCATCATCCCCCTTCTCGTATCTGCTGGCAGGAGGCTGTGGAAGATGCAGGGGATGTGAGGCAGGAGGGCAGGAGGGGCCTGAGTGCGAGGCCCCTGGAAAGGCACTAGCTCAGATGGGCCATATTTGAATCTTGATGATGACAAAGTGCTAACTCATATCTGGGATTTGTGCACAACAGTAAGATTTACTTGCCCTAACTAATAAAAGCCCCTCTTTTAGTCCAAGTGTTTAAAAACCATCTAAAAATATTATTTTAAAGGGCTAGAACACATACCTTGCATGGATGAGGCCCTGGATTTCATCTCTGGCACTGAGTGCCACCCCAAGGCATCACTGGGAGTAGCTCTGGTGACACCTAGCACTCTGGGCCCAAGCCCCGAACCATCTGGACTGGTTGGCTGAGTGTTACCAGGAGTGGCCCCTGGAACTTCTGAGCACTAGCATGGGTGGCACAAACAAACTGATCCCCAAAAGCCAAATCCATTTTTTGTCCTGTTCTATATTTATGTCCTATTTATGTCCTTGGCCAGTTATTTTTCTAGTAGGATATATATTTACATACATATCATTATATCAATGTGTTTATATAAATATATATAATATAGGGCTGGAGTGATAGTTCAGCGGGTAGGGCGTTTGCCTTGCATGAGGCTGACTTGGGTTTAATTCCTCCATCCCTCTCAGAGAGTCTGGCAAGCTACCGAGAGTATCCCGCCCACACGGCAGAGCCTGGCAAGCTCCCCATAGCATATTCAATATGCCAAAAACAGTAACAAGTCTCACAATGGAGACATTATTGGTGTCTGCTCGAGCAAATTGATGTACAACAGGAGGAGAGTGCTACAGTGCAGTGCTATATGATGTAGGCTTTAAATATAATATATAGAGGTTTCTGGGCCACATTCATGGTGTTCAGAGGCTATTCCTGGCTTTGTGTTTAGGAGTGACTCCTGGCGGTGCTTGGCAGACCACATGTGGTGCTGAGGATCAAACTGAAATAAACAGCATGCAAGGCAAACACCTCATGTTATTTATTTTTTTTAGCACAGTGGTAGGGCGTTTGCCTTGCACGCAGCCAACATGGCTGACCCGAGTTCGATTCCTCCTCCCCTCTCAGAGAGCCCGGCAAGCTACCGAGAGTATCTCGCCTGCAAGGCAGAACCTGGCAAGCTCCCCGTGACGTATTCGATATGCCAGACACAGTAACAACAAAGTCTCCAATGGAGACGTTACTGGGCCCACTCGAGCAAATCAACGAATAACGGGAGGGCCTTTACCTTTACCTAACAAAAAAAATTCTTTTTTTAACTTCTGAGTCACACCCAGTGGCGCTCAGGGCTTACTCTTGATTCTGCACTCAGGGATCACTCCAGGTAGACTCATACAGGATGCCGGGGATTGAGCATGGGTTGGCAGCATGCAAGGCAAGTTCCCTAGGCAAGTTCCCTACCCACTGTACCATCTCTCCTCTCCCTGCTCCCTATCATTTAAATGTACGGAAACTTGACTTCTTTCCATAGGAACTTTTGAGGATTTTCCTTTATGGCATAAGCTTTGCCAGATGGGTGAACAATTCTTTTCACTTTTAAATTCATAAAAAACTCTTCCTTCCCTCCATACCATACCAGGATTTCTAGGAAGCAGAAGCAACTGCTCATTCACTATCACATCTCTTGTGAGGAAAGGGCTGTAGGCCTGGAGGTGTTCTGCTCTGTAAAAACCCCAGTCCCAGGAATCTGAAGTCTCAGGGGGTCAGCAGGACACTTGTCCAGAGGCCACCATGTACAGCTGACCTGTCTTCACCATCTCATCTCACTGAGTCTTGGTCAACCTAGACACTAAGCTTGTGAGGAAAGTGTAGGAACCTCTAGACTAGCCTTTCCCAAAATGGGGTTAGACCATGCCATGGTCTTTTTTCCCCCCCCCATCAGAGGCCCTGGAATGGTCCTGGGTGTAATAATAGCCTCGGTGCAAATGTAGGGTGCTTTCGTTTTGTTCACTCAATGAAGAAAGATTTCCAGAGGGCCATGGAGTGATTCCCCACCCCCACTCCCCCCAAAAAGGGAGGAAGTAGGCCAAATAAGCTTGGAAATTTCAAATAGTACTTTAGTGGCATTTCTAGAGATTTCCTATTTTCAACTCCTACAATGGAGCTAGACAGGTCTAAGAAAATTTCCCATTACTGTCAGAACTGTGGAGCTAAGTGTAAGAATACACCCATTTCTCTCATGCCATCTGCTTCCCCTCCTGGTCTCACACTGAGCTTCAGTCTACAGATGTGCCACTGATCCCGGAATAGACCAGCTCCTCGGTGCCAGCAGCCAAGAGTTCTGGCTACTGTCACTCTCTGCCTCCTGAGCACCAGTCTTCCTGCGCTCTCCTTCAGAGCGGAGGGGGGCATGTTCTCCCAGACCTCTCTTAGTCTGAGGCCGTTGCTCTGGGCCACCCAAGCAGCTTTATGTGGCTTCTATCCCACCAGGACCCAAACGCTTCAGGCAAAGGCCTTCTGAATTCATCTTTGTATTTTCATTGTCTGATTTCAAGGAGATGATGGGCAAGGGCTGGTCTATGGCTGGAAAAGATACAGTATAATTGGCCTACCTTTGGTTTTTGGGGCAGGGGTTAGGATTACATGGATCCTTTGAGATGCATGAGCCAAATTCAAACTGATGGTCCTGGAGGCCCACGCAGCGAGCGATGCAGGCGCTGGGGTAGGTGCGTCCGTTCTGCCCGCACACGGGCACAAACTGATCTGCACAGTTACAGGGCAGGCCTGAAGAGAGAGCAAACAAGCAAAACAATGGGCACCGGCCTTGCCGCAACCCTCCTCCGCCAGGGCTCCATCACACACACAATCACACAGAAATCTCAGGGTAACAAGGACGTGTGAACTGTCTCACACGCACAGAGGCATATTTTCAGGGTGAGCAAGGCTCTTAAAGGCCATCATCCGTAGGATGACTTTCCTTTATATCATTAATGATCAGCTAGTCGAGGGTCTTTAGACCTGGATTCCAGAGGCAGAAGGTCCTGTAAATTACGTCCCAGGTGGGAATGTTTCTCCCAAGCTCATACATAAAATCTAGTACTCAGATGTCTGAAGTTTGGTTTTAGGGAATTTCCAGAACTTAAAGCGTTAACGTGAAGAAACAGGACAAAAATGAAAGTTGTAAACACCTCACCTAGGTTCATTCAGCTCTCTTTTCTTGAGAAGGGCAGAGGGAATCAAGAAGATAGCACAGGAAATTGTAGTAACATAGAAAAATCAAGACATGAATTTTTACAAACATCTCCAAGTCATGTGTAGACTGGACTTTATCTGAGTCCTAAAGATGTGGCAAAATATCTATGAGTCTGTTCATTAAATAGTCATGAACTTATTAATCCTAGGACATGAAAAAAGAATATTAGAATACTGAAAATTTTTATTTGTATAGGACACAGGGTCTGTAAAAGGTTAGTTACAGAGTTTATCCTCCAAAAACATTTAGATGTAAGTGGGAAAAAACTTAAATATTTAAAAAGTATTTCTATGAAAATATGTATTTTTTTTCTTTTGGGGGGCTTTTTGGATCACATCTAATGGTGCTTGAGGGTTATTCCTGGCTCTGTGCTTAGGGGACCATTTGTGGCGCTGGGGATTGAACCAGCTGCACGTAAGGAAAGTGCCCCATCGGCTGTACTGTTGTCTGGCCCCTCTTCTGTGTAAATTTCTAGCTTAAGCTTTATCCCTGTATGGTTCTGTGGTGTTCTTAAGCAGAATGAATCATCCAAGGGCAGGCAGCAATGATGACAATGAGAAGGGCACAGTGAAGGCCACTATTCATTACAGTGGAGAGAGGATGGGGTGGATTTAGTCCTGTTTCTACTTCCCCATCAGTCTTCCAGTCACTTCTTGATCTTTTTATTCCCAATGGAGTAGAGCAGAGGTTCTCATACTTATATGGCCTACCATTTCCTTTTCAGAAAACAAAACAAGACTCACTTCTTGCTGTCCTGGAAATCTACTTTTTTAGGGGGTTGTTTTTAGGCACACCTGGCAAGTGCTCAGGGCTCTGTGCTTAGGGATCACTCCTGGGCAGGACTGGTGACCTATATGAGTTGCCCATGGGATGGAGTCCAGGTAGGGTACATGCACGGTGAGTCTCTCTGGTCCCGAAATCAACCTTCTTTCAGTGAACAGAGAACCTCAAAATTGCACTTGATTGTTCTAGCACTTCCCCCCCCACCTCCCCCCACACACTTTGGGCAAACTGAGCTGGTGACCCCTACCCTGTTCTTCTCCACCCACTCCACACGTGGTACTCTCTGTCTCTGGGAAAGGATGAGGTTGCCATGGCAGTAGGAAATGGGATGAGCAGAGGCCTGCTGCCTCTTCCCTCCAAACCAAGGCTGTTTTCAAACCCTGTACAGAACAGACACCAGCAAGTGCCAGAAGACTGTGCTGACGCTACTGGCAATTGCGGAGTCTGTGTAGAACAGCCCAGCTCATCTAGCTGTGCACAGCAGCCTGGAACATAGAGGTGTCAGGAAAATACTATTCTTGGATAGTACTGCTCGTGGGCGACTACATGAACCAGAAAGCTAAGGCAGGCCAAGACAGAAGACTGAGAGAAACATAGTAGCAGAAACAAATTTAGAAAACACATGGGCATTTTAGACCAGGATATAAGGCTCTGTGGGGCATTTTAGCAGGGAGAAAAATTCCAAAATCCCACTTAACTAAAAATATTCCTGACATAGGTCCTTTGCCTTCTGACTCATGAAATTCCAGAGCATCAGTACTGGAAGAGTGCTAAGTAGTTGTTTGGTCTAACTCCTTCCATCTGCAGAGGAAAGTACTATCCAGAGAGAAAGCTTTTACTCCAGGATGATGAATTTGGGTATATCTATTCATCCAGCGATGCTCAGGGATTACTCCTGGTGGTCTCAGGAGAACATACAGGGTGCTGGGGATGGAACTCCGGTCGGTCGTGTGCAAGCTGGTCTTTGATTAAGTAAATAAACTGAAAGCACCCCTCACTTACACTAGGCTATTATCACACCCAGGACCATCCTATCGCACCCTACCTGCTGTACTGTTGTGCCGGTCCTGATGAATTTATTTTACAGAGCAAACATACAGATAAGGTGAGAGCAGAAGCCACGGGCCTGCAGGGCAGGGGACACAGGGACAAGGTGTGTGGGATGCCCCGGAGCAGTACCTGTGAAGGTGCGCCGGTCGTCCTCTGAGCTGTGCTCGCTCAGGCACAGGCGCGTGGAGCACACCAGATTGCCGGCGAAACAAGAGCAGACGTTGCAGTCAATACTGAAGGATGCTCCGTGGCCTGGGCGGGGGGTGGGGTGGGGGGGGATGGAGAGGGAGAGGGGGAGAGGGAGAGAGAGGGAGAGAAGGAGAGGGGGAGAGAGGGAAAGAGAGCATGCAAATGATTTAATAGCGTAGAGCCAGAAAACTTGGACATTCTGGAAAGATGACCTCTGAACAATCTATTGACCTCCCTCCCTGTCCCTCCATGCCCCCAATATGCTGGTCTCACCAGACTAGTCCGAGTTTCTGACAGTATCTTTGGCTGCCTCTTCTGCCTTAAGGACTCCTCGGCTCCTTCTAGAACTTTCCTTCTTTCTATGACCAGCTGTAAGGCTTTGGATCAAAGGCTCCAGATAGCCCTTCATCCTTGAAGAGCATTTAATCTATTCTTTTGGCTTTTGGGCCACACCCAAAGGGCCTCAGTGTTCACTCCTGGCTAGGGCTCAGGGGACCATTTGTGGTACTGGGGATCTAACTGGTGTTGAACACGTGCGAGGCAAGCTTTAACCCCTGTATTGTTTCTCCGGCTCTGTCCTTTTTGCGGTTCAAATTCTCTCCGATCTTTTAAAAAGCATGATCTCAACTCCTCACTGCATTTTGGCTCTGTAAAAAACTAAAAGTGGTACTGAAATCTGTATAGGGGGTGGGGGTGGAGGGCATGTCTAAAAGTTGATTTTATTTATTAATTTTTTTTACAGATTAGAGGTCAAATACTGACATAAAACCATTGTTAAGGAGATAAGCTAAAGATTCTTAAAGGGGCCAGAGAGACAGTCCAGGGGTTAAAGTGCTTGCCATGCATGTGGTCCACCCTGGTTTGATACTGGAGCACTACCAGAAGTGATCCCTGAGTACAGAGCCAGGAAAACCCCCTGAGCACTCCAGGTGTGGTCAAAATGAATAATAATAAATAAATAAGCAAATTTTAGAAACTTCAGATTAAAACACAAGAAACAAATAAAACAGTTCAAAACTCACTTTTTCTCTTCCCTCCAACAATACAAGACTTCTGGAGGTCAATGCAGTGCATCTCCATACAGTTTTCTAAAAGCCCACTTTGTCCGCATGAGCAAATTTTGTAACAACCGACTTCCCCTGCAGATGAGGGCACCTGGATTAGTGTCCCTTGACGGACGATGAAATCAGAAGCTTCTCCCAACTTGCAACCTGGGCAAGAGAAAATTAGCAGAGAGATGAAAAGCTTGGAACGACCCCTGAGCACCAAGTGTGGCCCTAGAAAACCAAGGTTCCCCCTTTTTTTTTGTTAAGAACTCTATTAATCAACCTTCCACCACTTAGAGACTGACTGAACTGCAGCCTGGAGCTGCAAACCACTGCTCTACATTATTTTTCCCCCCTGCTTTTTGGGTCACACCTGGCTATGCGTAGGGATTACTCCTGGCTCTGCACTCAGGAATTGGGGAACCACATGGGATGCTGGGAATCGAACCCAGGTTGGCCACGTTCAAGGCAAACGCCCTACCCACTGTGCTATCACTCCAGCCCCTCTACATCATTATTAAAGTCAGACTGTGATGGGTGGTGAGAAATGCACAGTGGTGAAGGGGCGGGTGTTGGAACATTATATGACTGAAATCTAGTCGTGAAAACCTGGCAACTGTGTATCTTACTGGAATTCAATTAAAAAACATAAAAATAAATAAAGTCAGACTTTGGGTTAGTTTGCTAACCAAACTAAAAGCTGCATTTGTCTTTTTTCTGTCTGCTGGCTATTGGGAAAATGTTAGAAATATTAAAGTGCTCATTGAGAAAACAGACAACTATATAAAAAGTCCTTTAGGGGTTGGACTGGGTAGGCCTTGCACCTGGCAACCAGAGTTCAATCCCCCACCCCTACTCCCATATCCCATATGGTTCCCTGAGCACAAGCACTACCGCCAGGAATAATTCCTCAGTGCAGAGCCAGGAGGAATCCCTGAGCATCACAGGGTGTGACCCAAAAAATAAAAATAAAACAAAGCAAAAAGAAAGAAAAGGGTCCTTTGTAATCTGATTACAAAGCTGTTGAGGACTGTAAGGAAGGCCCCGAAGAACTATGTCCCTGCTCCTCCCTCAGCCACGCCCTCCTCCCTCTTACCTTGAACGCAGGAGTAGGGAAGACAGGGATCCCCAGTCAGGCACCCTCTCCGGTTCACCTCACAGAGCTCGTTAGCAGGGCAAGGGTTTGGGTTACAGGGGTGAGTCACCTCTTCCACAATGTTACCTAAGGTGCTTGGTCCTGAAAAAGCCAACAACAGATTGATTGATTTATTTACCTACGAGATGGTCAGACTTCTTTGTCAAGACCCTGAACGAATGGTTTGAAGCTCTTTGGGTTCCTGGAGTGAGCAGATGCCACTGGGCTACAGTAGCACGTGACGGGGATGAATGGAGACGTTACTGGTGCCCACTCGAGCAAATCGATGAATAACAGGATGTCAAGTGATCAACTGATCAAGTGATTTATTTTTAAAATATTTTACTATTCATTTTATTTATTTATTTATTTATTTATTTTACTTTTTGGGTCACACCTGGCGATGCACAGGGGTTACTCCTGGTTCTGCACTCAGGAATTACTCCTGGCGATGCTCAGGGGACCCTATGGGTTGCTGGGAATCGAACCCGGGTTGGCAAATGCCCTACCTGCTGTGCCATCGCTTCTGCCCCAACAGCAGATTTATTGAACCAACCCCAGAGTGAAATATGAAGTAGTAAGAGCTGCCGGGCAGGCTGCAAGAAGGAAGCTCGTAACAAAGATTCTCTGACCATTTGTGAATTTAGCACACATAAAGATGTTCTGATTTATCTGCTGGGTGCTTAAAATCCGGTGGACAAGATCCTAAGGACAGATGTCAACAACAGAGACAAATCTCAAATACAGATTTTACTTTATGGTCAGGGAATAGCCAGTGGGGGGTATTTGTGTGTGTCTGTGTGTGTCTTCTGAATGTGTGTCTGTATATCTGTGTGTGTAACTGTGTGTGTATGTGTGTGTGATAGGCAGTATGAGGGTAGACAGGTACACTTTGGCTACGGGGGTTACATAAGCACTTAAAGTAAGAGGGGCAATTTAGCACATTTTACCCATAAAGGTGAACATTTATTAAGGTTGGGTGGACTCTAGACCATGATTACATTTGTTAACTTATAGAATAATGGCCAAGCGAGGGTTCCACTTCTTACAAAGAGTATGTAAGGACTGGACAGATGACTCACAGGGCTGGTGCACATGCTTTGCATGTGGATCCCTGGGTTCAATCCCTGACACCATGTGGTCCCGGGAGCACACCTGGAGAGTGATACTCCTTCCCAACACTGCACCAGTGTAGTCCCTGAGCACATCAGGTGTGGCATGAACACTACAGAAAAACGTGTGATACATCATGAGACTACTGACGCTCAAGCATGCGTAGTACTCAGGCCAGACTAGGGCTTGGAGGTAGGAGCATGGCTGGTCTCTGGACAGGCCCTGGAGGGCACAGGGCAGGCTCTGTGCAAGGGCTCTGAGGTTCTGAGGCTCAGCCCAGGCTCTCTCAGCAGCTTTCCAACTCACCAGGGCTAGAGGACATGGTTTGTGGGTCTTGACAAAATGCGGCTGATGTTACTGGCTACAGATCCAGCAGCCACTCTTGCTCCCAGTTAACAGAACCCCAGTTCTGCTTTGGGTGGCCCAGGGCCCACAAATAGTATTCCCTGTGTCCCTCACAGTGCAAAAACAAATACCCCCCCCCCAAAAAAGGGAAAGCTTCCATTTTTGCTTTTTGGGGTCACACCCAGCTATGCTCAGGGTTTATTCCTGGCTCTGCACTCAGGAATTACCACTGGCAGTGCTTGGGGGACCATATGAGTTGCTGGGGATTGAACTTGGATCAGTCACGTGCAAGGCAAATGCCCTACCTGGTGTGCTATTGCTCCAGTCCCGAAAATTTCCATTTTGATGCCCTAACCCAAACCACCAGTCCCGGTTCTCTATTTGGAGGGGTAGTTCAAGACAATGCCAGGCTCAAGTTCACTGAAGTCCTGCTGACAAAAAGCTGAGACTCCCTGGGAAATTCTGCCTTCCTGTGTAAATCATGACCAGGAAAGAGGAGGGAGGAGGAATTGGTTATCTGAGACTACTTGCCCTGACTCACAGCTCTGAGTTCCTACTTGGCTCACCTCCTCCTCTGCCTGATAAGATAATAAGCTCCACTTACATAAATTAAAACCTTAATTCTTCCCCAGCTCTAAAGGCCAAGCAAGTAAAAGTCTGTGACTGACACAGCATCATTAAACCACATATTCTTTTCTTTTCTTTTTTTTTCTTTTTGGGTCACACCTGGCGATGCACAGAGTTACTCCTGGCTCTGCACTCAGGAATTATTCCTGGTGGTGCTCAGGGGACCATATGAGATGCTGGGAATCGAACCCGGGTTGGCCGTATGCAAGGCAAACGCCCTACCTGCTGTGCTATCGCTCCAGCCCCAAAACCACGTATTTTAAACATAATTGCTCACCTAAAACAAATGTGAAGGGCAGAAATGGAAGAGAGAAATATCTAAAATCTTTTGTTTGTTTTTTTTGTTTTATTTTGTTTTGTTTTTGTTGTTTGCTTTGGGATGCTCAAGGCTACTCCTGGCTCTACACTCAGGAATTACTTCTGGCAGTGCTCAGGGGACCTTATGGGTTGCCAGGGATCGAACTGGGGTAGGCTATGTGCGAGGTAAGCACTCTACCCACCACACTATCTCTCTGGCCTAAGAAATGTTTAAAATCTTAACAGAGCCCTGCAATTCTAAACAGCAACTTCAGCCATATTGGAACCCACAGTAAGCCAAAAAAATTCAATTAGTATGGAAAAAATTTCACAAAGTAAAGTTAAGGCTTCACTTGACACTGTAATAAGTTCTTAGAAAAGAAGAGAAGTGGAATGAAACCAGCTCTGTGAATAAGACTCAATGATCAGTCCTGGCTCTGATTTCCCTTTTCTCATCTGGTTATAAGGAAACAACGATGAAAGAAATGTCATGATTCAAGGGCCCGCAACACTCACTGAGGTATGTGTCCAAGGGTATACAGCTCTCCAGGTCATCTGTAGGCGAGAGAAGCTCACAGATACTTTCTGCTGTGTGGTCTTCTGGAAATTTGTTCTGGTCCCCACATTTCTTGAGAATTTCTACACAGTCTGATCTTGAAAATGGAAACACACAGAAATGTAGGCCTTGAGGAACCTCACTTATCTAATCAACACCAAGGTTTCCTAAAGTTTTCTGGAAAGCAAGACTTCATGAGTTTATGATGTTTCCCAGTTGGATAGGCATGGCCAAAGAGAAAAGAGCTTCTAGAACAAAGATCCTTAAACTTTCTTACACAACCTCAGATCTGAGATAGGTATACAAACCCAACATTTACAGATAACAAATCATACATTTATTTAAAAGCAAAAATGATCATGGCCCTCATGTTCAGAACCCACAATCGTAAGAAGCTAAACTTTAGATAGAAGGCATCCTTAACACTCTTCTGACATCAAAAACCTTGCTCAACTTTTTTTCTTGTAATTATTGTTATGCTGTTATGACTACTAGTGTAGCTATTTTTCTATCTTTGAAAGGAAATTAAACTTGACTAGTGTTTTGTTCATATATATATACATATATATGTATATTGGCAATGCTTGCAGGACCACAAGGTATCTGGGACTTAACCCTATTCTCCTGCATACAAAGTGTGTTCAGAGCCTACTGAGTTGTCTCTCCAGCCCCTTAAATATTTTTTTATAGAACAGCTTACTTGCTTGCTCTCTTCCTTCTTAGAACCTGTGCTTTCTTTTACAAAAAAAATCTGTTTAGTGACCAATAATTATATTTGGCTTCTAACGACTGGGAAGTCTGCTACTTCATTTTTTCACTAGTCTTCATAGGAATTTGCTTATAGAAAAGGTTCTTTAGGCTTTTTTGTGCTAAGTCTATATGCTTACCTTTCACTGCCTCTTGCTTTTGCTTAAGTTACTTTTCATTGCTCCCCTACTCAGATTATCTTGAAACCACGTCAGAAAGCAGGTCCAGATTCAGACTGAGGTTGAAATGATCTTTAGTCAAGTACCCAGCAGCACTGGGACTCTACCAACAGCATAAGGTCTAGATATAAACTTGCTTTGGAAAAAAACTTTTTGAAAAAATGGAAGATATTTGAAGAGCAACTAATACCGATTTTTTATGTACTTAATAGTAAATTTCATCCTAACTTTAGTTTAGATCTCCTAGGCAAACCATTCACAAAATACTTATTAGGAATAAGCCTCAGTGATTTTACTCATTCCACATATCAAGCAAATATTTATTGCATATCAGGAGTATGCTATCCCTGAGAGGCAGAAAGAGAGGAAAGAAGATATAAGAAGAAAGAAGCATCGTGAAAAATAGATTATGCAGGGAGAGTAGTGTCTAGAAGAATGTAAGACAAAGGACACATATTAAAATATACAGGATAGAATTGTGTGCTAAAACTGTGTGGCAGCAAAGAGCAGTTAGGATAGAGAAGGAGCCAGTATGACTATAATAATTAGAAATGATCTCTGGACAAGAACTGAGTGTTGAAAGTAGGTAAAGGGATATATATATGATAACCTTTCAGCACTTGTATTGCAAACATTAATGCCCAAAAAGGTGGGGAGGAGAGAAAGAGAAAGAGAAAGAGAAAGAGAGAGAAAGAGAAAGAGAGAGAAAGCGAGAGAGAGAGAGAGAGAGAGAGAGAGAGAGAGAGAGAGAGAGAGAGAGAGAGAGAAGAAAAGTGCCTGCCTTAAAGGCAGGTGGAGTGTGGAGGGAAACCAGGGGCATTGGTGGTGGGAACTATATAGAGTGAAGGGAAGGGTGTTGGAACATTGCATGACTGAAACCCCAAAATGAACAACTTTGTAACTGTATCTTAAGCTGATTCAAACAAACAAACAAACAAACAAACAAACAAAAAGAATCGTGCACTAATGGTACTCAGCGGCCCTTGGATTAAAGTTCTGCAAGAGAAAAGCAAGTTAAGAAAAAAAAGCAAGTAAAGGTATGTAGAAATCTTGGTCAAGAGAAATTGCTAGCAATTGGAGAAATTAAAGGGCATTTCACAGGAATGATGGGCACTGTTAGGCATGCATCACTTAACATGTTGGTCAGTGATGCATTCAACAAGCAATGGTGACCAGGCTCGGTGAGAAGCACTGAGCTCAGTGACAAGGCTCGGTGAGAAGCAGCTCACCCTGCCTAGATTTGCATCCGTAGACTTTATTTGCACAAGGATCAAGAAGTCTAATGACACATGTCTCCAAATTGATCCCCTGACTCTCTGTAGGGCCAACAATAGGCCAGGGGCAAATGGTGATGGGGCAGTAAGAGTATTTTAACGAGAGGAAGAAAAAGTGGGAAAGGATCGCAAAAGTGGGAATGATGGCCAAGGGAAGAGGTGGGAAGAGAAAAACCTAAAGGTATACTGTGGGTGGAGATCCCGGGGGATCTGGATCCCACAGCAGAGAGTCATGATGATGAAAGAAACTTACTTGCAGATAATATTTCCCCGGGATTTACTATGGCACGGCTTGATCTGCAGGGAACAGGCGATTGCCTTCCACATTTCTGGCTGGCACTTTTTAATGTCAAGAACAGGAATGCTGATAAACGGCATCTTGATGCTTCCTTTGCCCCACAACTTCATGTCATTCATAGCTCCTTGGTCTGACTGGGCATTACAACTCCTGAAAAGCTCTGTTGGCCTGGAGAGACAAAAGGCCAGGTGGAGTCGAGGCGATTATTTTTCTAGAGAAAAGCAATGGGGAAGATCTTTACCTACTCACGCACCAGGGAAAGTTGATATCCATAAAGAAGACACTTATCAAAGGCCTCCAAGAACAAAGCGTCAGTGGAGGTCTTAGTGAAAGTCAAGACACTGATCGCATGTCGTAGGTTTTTTTTTTCCTTACAAGTACAATTTTTTTTTGAGCATTTAAAATAGAACTTCAACAAGCTCTGAATAGGACCATCATATCTAGATTAAATTAGAGGGACAATTCATAAAAACAAAAGGCTAAATCCATTTTAGCCTTGATAAATGCATCTATCTATGCAGGCAGGTCCAAACTGATAAAGAAGAATTTCTGTCATCCGAGGCAGTTCCCCTGTGTGCCCAGTTAATGTTCTTGCTGCTGATTCTCCCTGGTCACCACCATTCCTATGTACACACTCAGAGCTTAATGTTGCCTGTTGTAGGAATTAATATCAATGGAGCCACACTACATGTACTCCCTGGGGTCTGGAGTTTTCAGCTGAATGATACTTTGAGACTCACCCATGCATGTTGCTGTGCATATAAACCATTTTTTTGTGGTTGAATAGGATTCCATTAATAAATAGGTCACAATTTGTTTTCCCAAATGGTTCTCAAACTTTTTTTTTTGCTTTTTGGGTCACACCCGACGATGCACAGGGGTAACTCCTGGCTTTACACTCAGGAATTACTCCTGGCGGTGCTCGGGGGACCATATGGGATACTGGGAATCGAACCCGGGTCAGCTGCATGCAAGGCAAATGCCCTACCTGCTGTGCTATCACTCCAGCCCCCTGGTTCTCAAACTTTTTGAGAATACCCAGTAGTGCTCAGGGGCTATTCCTGGCTCTGTGCTCAGCAGTGATCCTTGGTGGTGCTCAGGGGACCAGATGGAGTACCAGGGATCTGAGCCAGGGTCAGCCAGATGCAAGGCAAATGCTTTAAGCTTGTACTATCCCTAGAAAAACTATTCTCCTGTCCCTAAAAAACTTCTCTTTAAAATAGTACACTTATTGGATTGCGACATTCTTCAGATGAGCAGGATACTGCCACTGCTGCCCTCTTGGGTTTAAGTAGTGTCTCCTCTGAGTACAAGACCCTCAGAGGTACCAGACCCAACTATGCAGTTTGCAATTTTCAGGCACTTCATTCCTATTTAGCCTCAGTGCTTCAGTTCTCCTATCTTCTCTACCCAGCAGGATGCCCATACTTGCCACATAAAAACTCTTTGTTTATTGGGGCCAGGCCTGGAAGTATGGGCTACTCCCAGCTTGGTGCTTGGTGCCTGGGGACCAGACAGAGCAAGGGATGGAGTCTGAGCACACATGCAAATCCTTTAGCCCAGTTCCCACGCTTTCTCTCCTCCTGTCCCTAATCTGAATACTTCCCCCCCCCACCTTTTTTTGCCAACACCCATTCCTTCACCAGTGTACATTTCCCACCACCCATATTTCCCACCACCCACTAATCTGAATACATTCAAGAGGATGCATGTCAGCTGGAGGTGAGCCGCCACTGAACTTCTTTCTGGCTGGTATAAAGCATCCTTATGCCTTTGTCCTTGACTCCCAGACTGCAGCTCCTAAAACCATCTCTTCTGTAGAAGTTTCCTCCCAGGCTCCTTTAATGAGAGGTTCTTTATGGCTCTGGAAGCTATTTCACTGCCTTATTTACTGTTTCTTCAGTCCATGGCTTTGTTCCTGGTTCCTCATGTTTCTTATTGCACATGACAGAGTAAAGGTTGGGGAGATGGCTTGTGGCCTGGACTGCGTGTGTGTATGCAGGAGTCCTGGGTTCGACCCTTGGCACTGCACAACTCCCTGAACAATCCCAGGAGAACCCCCTGAGCCCCACACTGGGAGCAGAAGGGAGCAGCTCATGAGCACTATTTAGTATGGCAGCGAAGCCAAGACCAAAACAACAAAAACTCCCAGCTATTTGGATTGATTCAGCAAAAAAATGTTTCTTGTGTGGAACAGGGGACTCACGGTGAGTACCCCCAGCCATCCTGAAGACCCTTCAGAGTAAACTGCCCACAGGACGGCACTGGGATGACTGGATGTGAACGATGGGAAACTCTGCCCCCTCTGGTTGTGTGGTAGGAAGAAGCTGGGGAAAATGGTAGACTGAAGGCAGGAAGGGTTTTTTAATCTAGGAGCTAAAAGAGTCTCTAGTTCTGAAGGGCTTGGCTGCTGTGTTTTCCTTTCTCATTAGGTAATTCACTGGATGGAAAATGGCACTTAGAGACCAAGTCATAAAGAAACACTATGTCATTTGAATTTACCAAGAACAAGATCAGAGTCACATGATAAAACATTTCTATTCCGTGTATAACAATTCCATGGGTTCCTACCTGTTGTTAAAATTAGTACAGTAAGTAAGGTTTCTACAGCCCAACTGGCAAGGTTCTCGAACATCTGCTAAACAGGTCAGCATGGCCACTTCCATGGGATTATATTCACAGAAGCGATCAAACTCCTGCCAACTCTGGGTACTGCCCCAGCTCATGCTATAAAGTTTAGTGCACAGTTCTCTGAAACAAAAAGAACAAATATATAAGTAGGGATGATCCATATGAAAAACTATCCACATTGTAGAAAACCTGAACTCTGTGAACTATACTTCAGAACAAGGGGGGAAAAATAAAGAAATGAGATCTGGCTCCTATAATACAGAGCCAAGAAAAAGTGCTCTTTACTATGAGAAAGAGTCACCCCTCTTTTCTCTTTCCTTGGGACCACAGTTGTTTGAAAGGTCAGTATGTAACTTAGTGTTTAATGACATATTTAATGTTTAATGATTATTTAATGTTCAATGTTTAATTACATATTTTCAGATCATTACTCTTGGCATAATTACTTCGCCCTGTATTTCTGACCTCTTTTACTTAAAGTCAGGTTAAGCATATGGTTTTGTCCTCATGAAGATATATACCACTATATTCATGTTCTAATCACCAATGGTAAAACCAACATTTGTCCTCAAACCACTTTATAGACTTGACTTCACTAGTTTCTCCCTGAAAAACTATCCCAAAATATTCCTTAAGCTATATCAAGACAAACTACATATCAAATCTTGTGAAGATTTCAAAGCTTCTAAGTTCTATTACAGTTAATAAAGAACATTGTTATTTTTAGTACTTGATGACTACAAAGCAACTTAAGCGAGGCTGGAGCAATAGAACAATGGATAGGGCATTTACCTTGCATGTGTGCAACCTGAGTTCGATCCCTGGAACCCCATATGGTCCACCGAGCCCCACATGAGAGATCCCTGGGCACAGAGCCAAGAGTAAGCCCTGAGCACCGTCAGGTGTGGCACCCAAACCAAAAGCAACCAACCAAACAAATACCCGAAACAAAACAAAATGCAACTTAAGCAAGTATAGCTAAACTACTATCCGTACTACTTCTAAAGTACTTTCACATACTGTACTCGTTAATCTAATTTTTATATATAAATGTAATACATATTCACGATATGAAATTTTAAAACCATTTTTCCAAGTAAAATTTTTTGCCCCAAATATATTGGAGTCTCATTGTTACCCTAAGGATGGATATTTTTGTTTTGGGGCCACACTCAGTGGTGCTCAGGGCTTACTCTTGGCTCTGTGCTCAGGGATCATTCCTGGTAGAGTTTGGGGCACCATACGTGGTGTCAGGGATTGAACCCAGGTTGGCTGCTTGCAAGGCAAGTACCCTACCCACTGTACTACAGCTCCAGCCCCATGAAGAGGTATTTTTATTTTTACAAGCCTGTTCATTCTTTTACCAATGTGAAAGACACTGGATGTGCTGTGGAAAAATCAAAGCGACAAGTCCCTGCTTTTGATTGAAATTATGCATCAGGGGGACGAGGTTGGAGATAAAGTTATAGCAGGTACTTCCATTAGAAAAGCAATTCTTTCTCTCTATGCTCTCTGACATATTTTAAAAAACATTCCAGAGTTAATTTTCTATATATAAATGAGTTTTACAAATCAATACAAATCATAAGATGATACCAGCCATTTCATATGAGGCTGAAATGAGACTGAGTGTAAGCACCCGGCCCAGACAAGGTCAGACCCGAACACCTGAAGAACCTGCCATCAGTACTCATCAATACACTGGCTCGGCTCTTCACTCGCTACCTGTCTGAATGCAAGGTTCCGTCCCAATGGAAAACCAGCAGGACCGTACTACTGTTCAAGAAGGGAGACATCTATGACATTGGCAACTATCGCTCGATCTGCCTATTGTCTGTCATCTACAAGTCGTTCACTCGAGTCATCCTAAATAGGATTGGCAGAACACTAGATGAAGGACAACCATGCGAGCAAGCAGGGTTCTGCAAAGGATTCAGCACCATCGACCATATCCACACAATAACCAAGCTCATTGAGGTTTCTCGGGAGTTCAAGATGCCGCTCTGCTTAACGTTCATTGATTTAAAGAAGGCCTTTGATTCTGTTGAGACGGAAGCGGTCATTGAAGCCCTAGCCAATCAGGGCATTCAAGCCCAATACATCAAGATCCTCCGTGAGCTGTATTGCGGATTCACTACCAGGGTCTCACCATTCTACAAAGAAGTGATCATTGATGTCAAGAGAGGGGTTCGGCAGGGTGATACCATTTCACCAAAACTCTTCAGTGCCACCCTCGAGAACATCATGCGATGACTGGAATGGGAAGGAATGGGAGTGAAGATAGATGGTCGGCAACTACACCACCTCCGCTTTGCTGATGATATTGTTTTAATAACACCAAACATCAGCCAAGCGGCACAAATGCTGGCCGACTTTGACCATGAGTGTGGAAAGGTAGGACTACAGCTGAATCTTACGAAGACAATGTTTATGAGAAACAGCCTCGTTCCTGATGCCCCATTAGCTCTCAATGGAACGACCATCTCCGAATGCAACAGCTATGTATACCTAGGTCAAGAAGTCAACATGACAAATGACCTGGCACCCGAGCTGCGCAGGAGGAAGAGAGCGGCTTGGAACGCCTTCAAGAACGTCGAAGAAATAGCTAAGAGGATGAAGAACCTCCTGCTCCGGGCACATCTCTTTGATTCCACTGTTCTTCCTGCATTAACATATGCCTCAGAGACCTGGGCCCTACGCAAACAGGATGAGAATGCTATTCAGGTCTCCCAAAGAAGAATTGAAAGAGATATGCTTGGAATATCACGTTTCACTCAAATGAGAGAAAGAATCCGGAGTTCCGACATCTGTCGACGATCAAGAATCAGGGACGCTGTCTCATTTGCCAAGGTGTCAAAAATCAGATGGGCTGGTCACGTAATTAGATTTAAAGACGACCACTGGACTAGAGCTGTTACCGACTGGATTCCATGGGATGTCAAAAGACCACGTGGCTGCACACCTACCAGATGGTCAGACTTCTTCGTCAAGATCATGAATGATCGGTTTGAGGCTCTTCATGTTCCCAGAGTGAACAGATGCCATTGGGCTACACTAGCACGCAACAGGGACAAATGGAGACGTTACTGGCGCCCGCGCGAGCAAATCGACGACTAACGGGAAGTTAAGTGATTAAGTGATTAAGAGTGTAAGCAGCAAACTATAAAACCTCAGGTGAAGGTAAGAGAGTATTTCTTCCTAAGGCTACTCTGGAGTGACACAGACTTCATAATCTCCTGTGGCTTTAGGACATCAACTCTTCTGCAGACAGTCAAAGAAGTTCTCAGCATCCCACCCGTAAATAATAGAATTTTGAAATTCAATTTCCTTCATACAAATCAACGGCATTTTTTCTTGAAAGTCTTCAGTTCAATTACATTGGATATTTTCCAGATATTTCCTATCTTTGGTAAAGTCTGAGAAGCTATTCTAGGCACCTTTTTGGGGGCAGGGGTAAAGGTATAATCCAATTGAGATACTATGGGAAATATTGTTTTAATACTAGTATGCGATACTGATTTCCAGATCATCTATTAATATGTGGCTCCTTCTACCCAAACTATCTCTATTGAACAAATTGTAAATTTCACCTGTGATCTACCTGAACATTACTCATCTATATTTACTCTCATATCTACATTGTTTCCTCAGATCCATTGCATTGTCAAGTTTTTATTCCTAAAAAATAAATTTATTGGGGCTGGAGTGATAGCACAGTGGGTAGGGCATTGGCCTTGAAGGGGCCAACCTGGGTTCGTTTCCCAGCATCCCACATGGTCCCCCGAGCACTGCCAGGAGTAATTCCTGAGTGCATGAGCCAGAAGTAACCCCTGTGCATCGCTAGGTATGACTCAAAAATCAAAAAAATAAAAATAAATAAATTTATTACCCAAATAATGGCAATACAGCATCTAACTTGGGTACATGTGCAATCTAGTGTTAAGTTCAAAGTTTCACAATTTAACAAAGAGATTATATCTAAGATGTCAGATCAAGTATCTTATTGAATGATCTCCTTGAAGACAGACTCCATTTTGCATGATCATTAATTTTTAATTTTAGGCCACACCAGGTGATATTTGGGTCAGGGCTGTGTGCTCAGGGATCACTCCCAGAGGGACTCAGGAGAACCACAGGGGTGTTCAGGGATCAAACCCAGGTTGGCTGCATGCACGGCAGGCACCTTACTGCTGTACTATCGTCTCTCCAGGCCCCAGTATCTTAAAATGTTTACTGTCCTGCTAATAACAGTCTTCTAAACCTCAAGTAATACTAAAGAAATATGTAATGGTTGAAAACATAAAATATTTTGTACCTCTCGAACTTTGAAGTCTATACAGTGCAAGAATATTACGCACAATTGCCAGATTTGCAGTGTAACTACAATACTATTTTTTTTTTTTGGCATTACCAATGGAAAATGAGATACTGACCTACAAGTTGAAGTGTTTGCTTTAGAACAACAATGCAATTTAGCCCCATCCAGGCCAGTAGAGGGAGGTGGGTGTAAGGTAACTCCAGGGTGAACAGACTGTGAGCTTTCAAGGAAACACTGCCAAAGAGGATCCTGAGGCAAGGGCTGGTTCTTGCAACCCTCGATGAGGCCATCAACAATCTCCATCTCGGTTTTCTTGGACATCAGAATTCGCTTGCAGGCAGTTTGGCAGGCATGGTCTTCGGCTCTGTCACAGCAATATAAACCTACATGTCCGGAATATAAGGAGCTTTAACAGGCAGATCACAGGTCATGCATTGCTCAGAACATCACAGAGTGTGTGTGGAAAACTATTATATCAGAGTCAGCTGTCGACAGACACTGCACATAGGCTCTACCAGCTGTTTCTCTGTTACTTTGCAACTAACAGTGTAGCTCAGAGGCAAGGAGCTGAAGGTGGACAAGCCTTGTAGCATCAGAAACCACTACTGTCCCCAGTCTGGTACCATCTAGGTAAACAAAAAAAGTACTGTCCCTAGGTAAATAAAAAAAAAAAAGTACGGGACAACAGATATTAGTTCATGCTAAAAAAGACTGCATAAAGGAATATGTGCTCTTAACATAGAGAGATGACTAATTGTATTTTCCATTTGTTAAGAATCAAATTTTACTTAATTTACCATTGGTTGACCAATTTTATTTTTTAATTTGTTTTATGGGGGAATACACTTTTGAATGCTCAGGGGTTACTTCTGGCTCTGTGCTCAGGAATCACTCCTGGCAGTGCTTTGGGGACCTGGGATGCCAGGGATAGAACCCAGGTTGGTTGCGTGCAAGGCAAGCATCCAATCCGTTGTACCATCACTCTGTCCCATTAAAACTGACCAAATTTAATAATCAAAAACACCAGATTTCATTACATTCTGCAATAGAAAGCCTTCATATATTAGTATAAGTAATCTAAGTCAAAATTTAAATAATACAATAGCAAAAGATGGATAAGATATTAATTTACTTTTGCCTTAAGTTTTCTATAGAAATTGAAAGAGAATTTTCAAGCAGATGAAAATTCAGAAAGGTTTATTGGAAACTTTTCTCCCAGGTGTCTTTGACTTTACTTTCTGTGGTGTTGGGGATTCAGGCTGGGGATTCCCACACTTGAGGCCTGCACACACCGTGAAGCCACATCCCTGGCCCTGTCTTTGATTCGGCAGGAAGCTTTCAGGCATCTCTGCTTGTGACTCTTTTTTCTTGCTGTGGCATTCTGAGCTCTAGCAGCCCCTCTGTATGGCCTACATGTCAGTCAAGGCGGATTTGCCTTTAAAATAAGTGCAGGGGGCAGAGAGATAGTTCAGTGAGCTGAGACCAAGTTTTCCATGTAGGAGGCTTATGATCAATCTTGGGCACCATGGCAGGAGAAGCCCCTTATCATCCTATAGTTTTAGCCTAATAACTTGCTTTATTTTATCACATCTACATAAATTTTTAAAAAAATATTGGTTACATACTGTTACTATTATCTAGGCATGATTTACTTAAATCAATACTATCCTCAGAGATTTGGGTTATTTCTATTTTCTTTAGTACATGAATGGAGTAAATGTTGTTTCTATGCACAAATACATCTTTGTAAATTTTCTTGCAGCACTAATTCTGAGAAGGGGAATTTCTAAATCAAAAGGTATGATTATTTGATCTGTTCATAGTCATACAGCCCACATCCCAACAGTCTCTATACCCGTGAATTCTTCTGCTCTCAGAACAGAAAGCATCGCTCCCTCAACAAGTCCATCTCTCTTGGCACATGACAGCTGTGACAGCAACATCCAAGCTGAGTCATCTACACACCAGGGAAGTCTGGTGATGTCCTAAATGACGCAGACTGAAGAGCTCTCCAAGGACTGCTTACATTTTTATTGATTATCACTGTGTTTTTCATCCATCGTTGAGAGAAATAAGAATAGTACGGTTGTTCAACTTACTATCTGTTGGGTTCCTCATTGGGTAAGACTGGGTGTAATTGTTCACACAGTGGATGAGCTGTGGGCTAATTGAGGCACAGTAGTTCTCCACAGCTTTGATCTGAGATGGTCCGGGGGAGGAGTCTGTTCGGAAGATGGCCTGGCAGTACTCGTGACAGTTGGTGTGATGGCCCGCGTAGCTGCAGCACACGGAGCCCACTGTGCAGAGAAGAGGACACAGAAATGGGAACGGCCCATGTGAGTGCGAGACCAGCACAACAGTGATGCATCCCTGTCTTCTTGAATTTGAGAAACAAAGTATTCTTTATTTAGAAGCTGAGCATTTAAAATCAACACCAGGGGCTGGAGTAGTAGTTACAGTGGGTAGGGCATTTGCCTTGCACGAAACTAACCCTGGCATCCCACTCGATCCGCCTAGCACTGCAGAGCCAAGAGTAACCCCTAAGCATCACCCGATGTAACCCCCCCACCAAAAGAAGCAAAAATAAAAAATTAACACCACTGGGGGAAAAGCCATGGGAACATTTAGCTGCCACTTCAAGACTCAGGCCAGCAGTTCTCAGCAGAAGTTCTATCCCCAGGGATGAATTGGGAAGCATGGAGCAGGGTTTCTGCCACTCAGCATGACTTGGGAAAGACGGCTGGGATCGAGTGCTGGGGGCAAATGCTGTTAAATGCCCCACAAAACACAGGACAGTCTCCTACAACAGAGCTCTCTCCCAGAATGATCACTGTGCCTCTGTGGGGAGCCCTTGAACAGCTCATTTCTCTGGTAAATTTGTAGCAATTTACAAGCAAAGCAAAACAAAACAAATAAAAACCCAAATCCCAAGTGCCTTGCATTTGGTTTCATACATGAAATAGGATCAGTAAAATAATGATGGTGATGATGATGATAATAATAATACACTTGACCATTTCTGAGAATATGTCTGAATTAAGTCTTCACCTTACTATTGCTCTGGATGCTTCAATACTGCAAAGTAAAAAAAGAAAAAATACCCTGGAAAGAAACACAATTCTGGTCTTGATGTCTCTTTAAAAAGCAAGGGAGGCATAAAAGCAGGGAATTGTCTGCTTTATTAATTGCTGTAAACTTCATAAGGCATCAGGAAGAGTTATCAGTTGAATGAACAAAGAGACCCACAGCAAATCAATGGTGTAAAGAAATGGAAAATGAAGAGTTTCAAAGACAAAAAGTCAACGTGCTCTAGTACTACAAAGGAGCAAAATAGAAGTGAAAAGTCCGTTTCTGAACACACAAGTAAGAAACCTGAGTCCAAGCAACCACAAAAAAACAAACAAAAGCCCTCCTGCAAGGGTCTTTCTAACATTCTAACAGGCAAAATATTGCTATGCAAGTTACGTAATATGAATTATGCTAACTTGCCTGTCTAGATCCCACAATAAAAATTCACATTCAAGACAAAAAAAAGTCAAGGGAGGCTATCATGTGAGGCGAATGGGCAGAGTTAATGACAGGGGTGGTATAGATGTGGGACCTATACTGGAGAACAAGAAACACTCAGAGGAGGGCAGAGATCTGTAGGAGGCCCACGGGAACCGGGAGGGTGTGGCCAGGACAGGGTCCCTGGCAATAAGGAGAGATGGCACGGAGGAACCAGAATCAGGCTATGGTGAATTTCATCCACACACCAGGGAGTGAGCAGGGAATCTAGGTGACTTCCAGAAATGACAGAATCATATGCACATTATTAATATTTCAAATTTATTCTGACTGGCTCTGTGGTCAGGGATCACTCTTGGCGGGACTTGGGGTGATTGTGTGTGGTGCTGGAAACAGAAGCCAGGTCAGCCCACGTGTAAAGCAAACACACACCTGCTGCACTGTTGCTCCGGCTGGAAACTATATCAGGGCTGAGCTAGAGCAGGACTAACTTCAATGTCCTGAGCCCGGAACCTTTTGCTACATATTGTGTCACCTGCTTCTGATTTGTAATTCCCACCAAAGGTAATTGTGCTCTCTGCTGAATTGTTTTCATCACAAAGTCTGATTTAATTAATACCCACAATTGAGGGTCTCCCCCAGGAGGCTATGTTGTGTGTGTGTGTGTGTGGGGGGGACTATGTGGAAGACAGAAGCAGTGAAGAAGAACAGGGTGAGGATGTTACGTGGGACTCCCTCCCCAGTGTGGGTGAATGGAAACTTGCATGCCCGTAACTGGGGAACACGAGGTCGAACCCCAAATAGAGAGGGGAGGGGAGAAAGCACCAACAGTCAATGCTTCTTTGACACGCCTGGCTGCACAGCTGAGGGAAACGCCTGTCACCCCTCTGTGTCTTTTCCTCCTGAGGGCTCTCACCCTTCCCTCCCAGGCTGAGCCCAGGACCCACATCTTCTGGGCACACCGCTGGTGGGGTTCCCTTCTTCCTTTCGGAGGATTTCATCAGGGACACTGTCCCCAAGGCCCCACGTCTAGACTGTCCTCACAGCTGTGCGTCTGCCTGGCCCAGAGTGAGCAGGCATGAGGTCAAGTGAGTGAAGAGGCAGCTCACAGCAGGGACCGCTTCCACCTCACTGTGTTTATTCAAGCAGGGCTCCCTCACCTTCCACATCCCGCATGTGTGACCTGCTGTGTAAATGCCAGCAGGCCATGGGGACTGTTGAGACCTATATGTGGTCTGAACACAAAGAGCCTCACAGACTTGACAGTGCACATGCTCTCAGTGACTCAGGGGTTTCCCGATCAGCCGCTTCCTAAGGCCAGGCTTGGAGCCATATTTATAAAAGCTAAGTCACATTCTAGAAACCGTGTTTTGCTCTCTGGACAGCTTGTATAATCATGGATAACATACTTACATTCATTTCTGCTAATGCAACTGAAAAGAGCGTTCTGTAAATTAAAGAAAAACAAATTAACCATCCAGCAAGCTGACTTTTATTCCACTTCATGATTACATAGAAATCAGGATATCAAATGATTTCATTGCTCTTGAAAGCTAAATCTTAAAACAAAGAAACTATGAAGTGACATACAGTGGAAAGGGAAAGTGTCTCCTAACACATATTGGGAAGGCCAGAGCCATAAGTTGACCTGCTAGAGCAGATCAAGATTATGGAACCAAGTTTACATATATCAATGAGTGTCAGCCTATAATGAATCTCAGTTTGTTGTGGAATATTAAAAAATAAGCTACCAGGAAAGAATTCAATGCAAAATATTTAGGAAAATATACATTTTCTATGAAAGGACCAAAGGCATCATCTCTAATAATTCTTAAACATGTTCATGCACCATAGCTGTCCACATTCCCTAGTCTTACCCTAGATTGCAAAACTTGAGGCTGGGAGCAAAAGACAGAAATCCAAGATTCATTTAATTCTTTTTTATTAAAGCATCATGATTTACAAAGTTACTTATAATCGGGTTTCAGGCATACAATGTTCCACTCCAATCCCAGAACTTGTTTCAACTTCCCTCCAGCAATGTCACCAGGTTCCTTTCCACTCTGCAACCAGCTTCCTAGACAGGTACACTTCTTCCCACCCCTTCCCCCTGCCTATTTTGGGGGGGACCACACCCAGCTGTGTTCAGTGCTTATTTCTGGCTCTGTGCTCAGAGATCAGTCCTGGCATAACTCAAGGGACCATATGGGATGCCAGGGATTGAAACTGCGTCAGCCGCCGGCAATGCAAAAGCCCTTCCCGCTGTACGATCTCTCTGGTCCAATATTAGAAAGGAATCTGTCACCAACTTTCCAGCCTGTTCTGAGGGGCTGAACAGCAGTCTTACTGCCTTCCTCTTTCTAGTAAACTGGCCGTTCTTCTTTTTTTGTTTTCACTTGAACCTGAAGAACGTACTTATAATCTTGATGGCTATTCTGGGTTGCATGCCTGGTTTTCATCATTATATTCTCCTAGTTCCTCATAAAGTATCTATAGCAGTGTTCCCAGCCAGGGCTGATTCTGCTTCCTGGGGCACACGTGATAACATCTGGAGATATATTTGGTTGCCATAATGGGTGGAGAGAAGAGAGCAATCTATGTGTCATTGGCATTTAGTGGACAGAGGAACCAGAGATATCTTGAAACCTTCCATAAAGTAAATGACCAGCTCCCCTTCAACAGAGACCAGGCAGCCTCAAACATCTGTGGTATCATGATTGAGAAACTCCATTGTCAAAATATTCACAATTGCTCAAGTTAATTTTTTTTAAATTGACCTTATAAACAAAAGAAACATCACTCTGCGTCATCCTTCTATGTACTTAAAGAACATGGCAGTGAAAAATGCCTGAGATATATACTGTCTTTATTTGGCAGGGCCAAAGACAGGTCTGGAAGGGAAAAATACTCACGAATCCTAGTTCTCATCCAGATGGGTGGCAGGAAACTGTGGCACACAGGCCAAACCTTGCCTGTTTTTGTAACGAAAAGTTACATAAAATGGGGTCTCTCTTTCTTTCTCTTTCTCCCTCTCCCTCTCTCTAATCTCTTATTGTAAACCAAAATATGAAATCAACCTCAATTTTGTACATCAACAGAAAAACCAAATAAAGAAGGCTGTGCTTCTTTAGATATGCTCAAGGGATTCAACCCTGTTGTCAAAAAAGGTGGGGCAAGAACGACAGAACAGTAAGTAGGGCACTTGCTTTGCATGTGCCCCCTGGTTTCTGTCCCAAGCACCGCATATAGTCTCCCGAAAACTGGTGGGAATGATCCATGAGCACAGAGCCAGGAGGAAGCCCTAAATCCAACCAGATGTGACCCCAAAACATACAAAAATAAAGAAGAGGAAAGCATGCCTTTTGAGACAAAATGTTTGGAACAGGCAGTTATAATACTAAGTGAAGTAAGGAAGCGAAGAAAGGAAGGATACTTTTGTTCCTATCAATGAGGGCGAGCTGGCCAAAAAAAAAAAAAAAAAAAACCACCCTCAAAAAACTCTTAGACTTGGTGAAAATTATGGTGATTAACAGAAGGGTGAACGGGGTGGGAAGACGGGTGCAGAGCTCTGTTTGAAAGGGAGATGATGCTAGAACTTTGGTGGTGGTTGCTGCATGCTTTCACATACTCGTAAGTCAGCAGTGTGTGTGGGGGGGGGTGAAGCTGCACCTATGAAATGCTATCATAGTATAAATCAGTGAGAAGTCAATACAAATCACTTAGTAAAGAACACTAATAAAGTTATCTTACCGAACACAAGTTGTTTTAATTTTTATCTTTGGAGGTCACACTCAGCAACGTTCAGGGTTTACATAATCATTACTCTGCACTCAGGAGTTACACCTGCCAGTGCTTGAGGATACCAGGGATCGAACCTGGGTTGGCTGTGTGCAAGGCAAGTGCCCTATTCACCATGCTAATGCCTCCAGACCCTTGTACACAATATTTTTGGGCCGTTTTTGATCATGGATAAATAAAATCATGCAAAGAAAAGTGGCTAGAGGATATTAGTGGCATATACTGTATACCTGTATTTGAGGACTTCACTTTTCTGCTGCTAACTTTATACTCAGCCTGATTTCATGTTCATGATTATATTCAAGCTCCCCTCTTTTTTAGAAAAGATTAGCACTGTAGCACTGTCCTCCCATTGTTCATCGATTTGCTCCAGCGGGCACCAGGAACGTCTCCACTGTGAGACTTGTTGTTACTGTTTTTGGCATATCAAATATGCCACGGGGAGCTTGCCAGGCTCTGCTGTGCTGGTGGGATACTCTCGGTAGTTTGCCGGGCTCTCCGAGAGGGACCAAGGAATCACTTTTTAGAAAAAGATTACTAATTTTAAATGCAAAATACAGACCTAGGTGACTATATTTTCGCTTCTTACGCTACTGTTGATTGTTCTGACAGGGCTTCAGATATGCATATGAGTTACAATATTAATTTGTTGTTGATTTCTTGACAGTTAACAATTGGAGTTTTAGTTCTTCAAGTTTTTCAAATGTCTGAGCGCCATCTAGTGGCAGGATCAGGAAATAACTGAGATTGGCCTCAGTGGCGCCTCTTCAGCCCTTTGGCCTTCCAAACTAGAACCAAAGGGGCCTTTGGATCAAAACGAAGGTTACACGAGTGTGGCTCTACCACACCTCAGAGTTCAGAGGCCAAATCAGGGAATGGTGTTGACAGGGTCCTAGGAGATCTTCAAGGTCCTAAGGAGGCATCTAGCTCATTAAATGCTAAGATAGAGAAATGAAGAACCGACCTTCGAAAAAAAAAAAAACGGGCACACTTGCAAACCATTCTCTACAAGAATTTCACCAAGTTGTGGATAGCACCAGTCAAAAAGTCTCTGTGACTAGTTTACGTAAAAGGTTTACTATCGTGGTATGAGAGCACCAAATGTCATTTTGACAGCAGAATTAACATTGGCACCCCACACTGAAGACAGAAATTCTAGATCACTTTTCCTCAGCCTTCCCTCCCCTTCTGTTACCTCCTTTCCAATGTTGTGTCCTTTTTATGGCCCCATCCTGCTGGTGGTCCCCTTGTCTTGAGCTGTGGCCCCACTATTTTTGTGACTGTCATCTGTGGCTGCTGTGGGATACCCAATAGGTGAGAAATGCTCCTCTACAGTGCTCACTGTTTGCTTATTAGCCATTGGAGCAGGCCAGCCTGTGGACAGTGAGTTCCCAAGCATCAAAGCACAAAGTCAGGAACAGAGCCCCTGTTCCCGTCTGCAGGGATGCCTCCAAATTTCACACTTCCCTCCACATCCCTCACACTGACTCTGAACTGAAACCTGGTGAAAACTATGGTGCTTTGGGCAACTGGACCAAAGCAGGCTTGGAGGACGAGGCTGGCTTGACACCGACATGCTTCTGTTTCCTCTCCTATGTTGCCACCACCGTGGAAACAGTCCTACACTTGCCGCCTGGAGGGGAGGGAGGACTCAGGGAGGAGAGCTGAGCTGACTCAGGGCATCCTAGGGCAGCTGGCTGGGCAACTGGGGATCCCCTCACCCTATCCTCTTGCTACCAGATGATTATATATGCAGGAATGAGCCCAGCCAGGATTAGCTAAGCCTGGCCGTACTACAACTGCCAGGCAGGCCCGTTAGATTCATAAGAAACAATAAATTGTTGTTTTAGGCTATGGAGTTTGAGGATGGTTTTCTACATATTTCTGTGATACAGGCAGAGTATTCAGTGCTTTTTCTACTTACTCAAAGAATGCTTAATTCATCCACATTTATACAGGGTCTCCACACAAAACTGCTATTTACGCTGAAACAAAGAACCTTGTGTAGTTCAGAATGAACAAAATTTCCATGAAAACAGCTAAACTTAGAAAAATACTAGTTGGAGCACCTATTTACAGGCAGCAATTCTTTGTTCATCCTTGACCTCTAACCTGCTGTGAAGACTTCCCCACTCCCCCAGGCAAGGTTTTTCCCTGCAGGCCCCAGTCACAGGCTTTGCAGGTTCTCGTCCACTGGCTATGAGAATATCTCTTTTTCTATGTATGAGCTCAAGACCTTCTTAAACTGTTTTTACTTGTGACTCCAGAGAAGTTTTTACATGACTCCAAGTATAGGCATATCACTGACTGATAGGACATCATAAAAACTGTATTTTAAAATAAGCTTTTCCTTATTTAATTTGGGGGGCTAGGCCTGGTCATGCTCTGGGGCTACTCTTGGCTCTATTCCTGGGGGATCATGTGGCTCCAGGATTGAGCCTGGACCTCCCATGTGCTCAGTTCCTTGAATTATTTCTCTGGCCTCTAAAAAATGGTTGTAAAAAGTTACATGATTGAGCTGGAGTGAGAGTACAGCTGACTGGAGCGATAGCACGGTGGTAGGGCGTTTGCCTTGTGTGCAGCCGGTCCTGCCGAGCCTGGTTCCATTCCTCCGCCCCTCTCGGAGAGACCGGCAAGCTACCAAGAGTA